TCTTTCTTCGCCGGCAGCGGCACAAGTCTCATACCCGGTGAGCTATCTGAAGATCGGGGCGTTTTTACGGAAATTGTCCGTCACGTTACGTAAGTCAGTTAAGCGCTGCTTGACCACGGCAAGCTAATCAAGCAGCTTCCAGACGACCGGCAATCTTCGTTCCGATGCTCTTACCGAAATTAATGCCTCTGTCGCGCGTCGTCACGACTGCTCTCGTTGATATTGTGCCGGACAGCAGCGAATGATGTTCATTCCGTTGCTGAAACGGTTCTCAGGTACACCGAAGAGCATTTATTTACAAGCCGCTGACGCAACGTGACAACACTCTCATCAGGGACCATTTATGAAGTCTTATGAAAACCGTTCACAAAGGATCGGGGGTGCACGCTACGACGAAGACCGAGAGACCGTAATTTCGCAAGCCCGGCGAGCACATTAAAAGTGAAGAGTCTTGTAAGAAGTTTGGCCAGGAATGAGTCGTCGTTCCTGGACTATCGTCTGTCGTCGCCGAAACATCGCTGGATGTGACCAAGGTTCGATGGAAAGAGGGGAAATTCGCAAAGACTGGAAATAGAACTGTCCATGGCAGAAAATCTGCATACGGCTCCGTTGCTGGCGGAATTCGGTTTTACGCACGCAGATCTCTGTCACACCCAGTTAGCACTATCGCGACCGTACCGGCGGCCACTAGGAATGCATGCGGGGAGAGTCGTAGACGGAGAAAGCGAGAGAAGCTCGCGCTTCTGGAGGCACCTGAAGCGGACTGGAATCCTTCGATTTTTTCTGACGCATACACTCTCTTCGTGTGTCTGGTTTCCGTCAAAGCAATTTACGGGCTCTGCGTTTCTCTTGCCTGCCAGACCTTGACACAGACTTTAGAAAATATTCTTCCTCTCGGATCCGTATTCATGATTCATATTCATGGAACGATCGATCACCGGGACCCGGGCTCACTTTTTTCCCTCCAACATCAAGGCATTTCGAAGTCCAGATTTAGAAATGATGCTCTTGAGTTATGGTCCGAGTCGTTCAGGGAGAAGCTTCCCATCGTTCCAAGGGACCTGAAGTCTAAACGAGCGATTTTTTTCTTCCTCAGGTCCCAATGGCCCTCAGCACGGTCACCCTGCTGTTTGCGGTAGGACTCCAGGTTCTGCTGGCGTCCTCCGACGACGGTCGGGTACTTCATACGGCGGGAAAGGATGGAGCGCGACCAGAAGACATGCTTCACGATGGCGGGCGATTACCACAATCAGCTGAAGTATCATCCGAGAGCAATCCAAGTGAGTTTCCGGAGGCCGTGACGGAATACTGCCGACAGACTCAGAATTTCGCTGTTGCGGGAGCTCCCGTTCCGAATGATCAACGTCTCAATTCCAGGAGTCTCACGGAACCGCGGTGCAAGCAGCCACCCAGGATTGGTGCCTCAAGTTGAAATCGTTTACGATGCTTCTGGCCGAGGTTGGGTCGAATCGATAAAACAGGTCCCCGAGCCGGCAACGAGCTCTTCACGGGAAGCAAGGAGAGCGGATAAGCCCCGGAAAGACGTAATTGGTGCGTATAGATTCAAAGAATATTGATAAATAGAAAAACACCAAGCATTCATCTGAATTAGGAAAATCGCGACGAGGTATCGATTTCATGCCCAGCTCACTTGGATATTTTCTCCAAGGTACCGAGATCATAAACGACGTCGCGTTTCTTGAGATTCGTGCCGACAAGGACCGTAAATCTCCGCCTCTGGTCACGGTCAGGCGCGCCGACTCCGATGCTCCCACTGCAAGCAGAACTTCAGAGTCCACACAAACGGGGAAAATTCACTACAGTCAGATTCCCTTCAGGGGAGTCCCGACTCCGAGTTCTACCGAATCCGGGGAGTCTGAACTCCATCCGCATGATGATCAGCTCAAAAGCTCGGAACCTCCGGCCCCGGTGGCGACGATCGCAGCAGCAACAAGCAACGTTTCTACGACGGAGACGCCGACACCGCTAACCTCGAGCTCCGAAGAAGGAGACACCGAGATTCCGACCCCGGAGCGAGCAGCGAACGCGACCGATTCCAGCGCGATAGAGGATTATTATCTGGGTGAAGACTACGACGACCAAGCCGTTGATCCGAAACTCCGAAACGATCAAAAGGTCACAGGCGAAGGTTCGCCTCTAAATTCCACCAGCACCATCAGCGAACACGATTATGACGAAGAACACGGAGACGAAGAGAAAACTGATGACGAATCGGATGTGAGTGAGGAAAACACAACGCATCTACCCACCGAGCCGCTCCCTACAGAGAGCTCCACAGACATTTCGATCGAAATTGACTCGAAAGAACTCCAAACGGAGCTACCACCTCCCGAAACGACGACCAGAAGGCGAATCCCAGTCTCAAAAATCACGACACCCTCCGTGAAGTTTGAAATTCCGACTGAGCCGTCGAGCTTGCCCGAGAGCCAGCCGCGCACCGAGCTCGAGCTTCTTGATAGAAGCGATTCGAAAGAAGAGGAAGGAGATGAGGAAGGAACAGACAGCGAGGAAAAAGGAGAAGACGGATCTAATGTAAACCAAAACCATCCGAATAGCTCCGGAGAGCCTCATGAACTGAATTCAACGGTCTCCATGGAACCTGTACAACCGCCCCAGGTCAACTCGAAATCAAATTCGAGCGGATTCGAAACCCAATTGCTTTCGACGCCGGCAGGGGCCGAAACAATTCCGACAACAACCGTGAGCGATTTGATAGACTCCACGGAAGTAACCTCGGAAGAAGAAAACGATTTCCACACGAAGATTGCTCAATCCGAGGGAGCGGGAGACCCAGTTCCCGTGGTCGCTACAGAGGGCCCGACCCCGGGCTTCGCCGTCGAGAAACGAATTCAAGAGGACACAGGGAAGAATATCCAATCCTTGGTGCCCAAGAGCGAAACCCCCGTGGACGCCAGCACCGAAAAAATTCAGGAATCTACATCTTCGCACGAGACGCCGGAACGAGAGGCAGAGGGAGAAGCTTTCCCCAGCGAAAACCCCGAATCGACCCCGGACTACTTGTCCCAATTCGTCACGGTGGATCCCAATATGTTCTACGGTATATTCAGACCGTCGAGTACACTCCAGCCTGACTCGATCACCTCGGAGGCACCGGATCTTTCCAGCAGTACATCCCTTCCGTCAACATCTCCAACGAGCGATCCGCCATCGGCGACGTCCGCTTCGGCTAGATCGTCCACCGCGACGGAATCTCCGGTCGTTAAATCAACTGAACAAGCCATAACGGAGGGATCTCCTCCCGTGTCGACATTGCAAGCGGAAACTACCCCGTCAGACAACGGTTTCGTCCTGGGACTCGAGGGACTTTTCAACCTCAAGCCCTCAACGCGTCCGAAGTCCCCGGAACCTTCCCGGCCGAGTGCGGCTCGTTTCGGGAACTCTTTCGAGACTTTGCGGGAAGCCGCGACCACGACCCGGGCTCCGTCAGCAGCCCCTCCCGGCACTTCCATACCGAGCTTCTTCGGAGACGGGGCGCCACTCGAAATGCTGAACTTCCCTTGGAGTACGGATGAGAACGAGTTCTCGAAGCCGGGAGCACCCCTCAAAGATCAGACGGAGATCGCGCCAACGGTTCCCACGCCGTCTCCGACAGCTGCCACGTCATCCGCTCCGATATCTTCGACGGTGCGGTCAACAACAGTCCCGAGTCGGGTGAACTTGTTTTCAAAGAAAACTGCTCCGAGCCTTGTGCCCACGAGGGCCCCACCGAGCGGCCCACCCAAGCAATTCAATTTGTTTGCATCGTTGACCAACGCGCACAATCCTGTGGGTCGCAAAGGCGACCGGAGACCCGAGCTGCGACCGCTCAAGAAAGTTTCCGGGCCCTGGGAAGCTTCGATAGATCCTCCCGAGCTCGAGGTTCCCGACCCGAGGGACGGCAGCGAGACCCCTCCCGAACGTGGAGCGTTTTTCGGAAGCCACGGGTACGAGCGGCGACTCGTCCTCGAAAGCTTGCCGCCCAGCACAACGAGGCGTCCCGCTCCGAAGCAGTTCCATCCGCCCACGCTGCTGCATGATTTCGCAGTCCCGGCCCCGGTCGATCACAGAAATTATGACATGGACGATTTCCTTCACCGGGGAAATCCTGCGACGCCAAAAAATGCAAAAACGCCGATCTCGCTGAAGGCTCGGACGACTCTGCTGATGTGCGCAGCGATTATCGGAGGGGCGGCGATATTCTTCGCAACTTTGATGGTTGTGTGCATGAGGCGAACGAAGAACAAGCGTCTGATTCGCAGGAGAGCGATCGACAAATTCATTCAAGATTCCACGTCGGAAGCGTCGAGTAGTTACGGCGGTAGTCATAGCTCGTACGGTCGCAAGGGTCTCTTGGCATGAGTGTGAATCGAGGTGGATCCTTGGACACCTATCTCAACGCACACAGAAGCCATCCTGGAAAACTGTATATAGTCGAAGCGATCTTCCAGGGACGGACTGTCGATGGCGAGAGCGGCAGCAGCAAAAACAGTAGGAGCCGTGACGTGATATAAATAATTATTATTATTCTGTCGAGTAGATATCGGTGGTAGATTCCCAGTGAGATGGTGTAGTATGACCGGCTACCGCCACGAGCAAGATGTCGAATGTCGATGAGTATTGAGCAATAGTACCTGACTTTAATTTAAGTGGTGAAAACGAATGATAAATTATCGTGTTTGGAGGACGAGAGCGAATGTTTTTGTTTCGGATCTCTTCATTCTAGACCTTCATCTGACCCTTAGGGAACAGCTTTCGGAGCTCTGGGAGAATCCACGGCGATCTATCGAAGGAGCAGATCGCAATCCTCATGAGGGAACGGGAAATCCTCCCTCTCCGCCCAGAATATGCCCTGGCTGATTGTGAAAGGAATCTTTTCGAGTGAGTCTTCCGTGGACGGCTGTTTCACAGGTTCGAGGTGAGCCCGTTCGTAAAAGAAAGACTCGGAGGAAGTTCTGCTCCTTTTTGACAAACTGACGAACCTGTAAGCCTCGAAGGTGAAGATTTTGGCCGCTGGCTGCTTCTTCCATTTGGCTTCGGTCAGAAACTTCCGTTTGAAGTAGGCGTACTGGCGGGCGATCGATCGGTTCATCCGGCAGGCGGAGTCTGTCAGGGGATGGGGGAATATGAGGTCCTCGTCATCGGAGGACGGACGTCCCGATTGCATACGGGAGTACTGAACGGGTTCTACCTAGTTACGATTGTCATCCATCGTAATTTCAAACCAGGGATTCGACTAGATCACCGGCTTCATTGGCTGTTGCACCGAAAGCGATTCTTGAAATCTGACATTTCTTGAAATGTGTCGCGCGGAAGACCGCCTGCCCTCAGATACGAACCCAGAGTTGTTGATCCGCTGAGGAACCTCATGTCTTCTTCTGTGAAATACAAGACTGTGCAGTACCGCGACGGCAAGCATCGGATGTAGAAATGCCAGAATCCCTGAAAATGAATTGAGCGATCCTCGCTTGAGCCCTTCCTCCTTCTGACAGATCGAGATTATTTCAGTCGCATGCTGATTGGATGTACCTCTTCGCCCTTTGCGAGCTCATTGAGTAGAAACAACGATAACCGAACATTACTCATTTTCGAGCATATCGGATCCTCGCGCAACAGGGGACCGAACTGCGTCTTCTCCACTGCGCAGTCCGATGTCATCATCAAATCCAGGGGCACGGAAAGAAAAATGTCGGAATCCTAGAGGAGAGAGCTTTCTGTAGATCTGGAAACCCGATTTTTTTCGGAAGCAACGTGTCCAGTCCCCGGGGTGGGATGACTTTTTCAAATCGCGCCGCATGTTTTTTTTTCGCCCTATCTCACCTGCAGAGAATCGGTACAGAAAACCCCGTAATTCTCGTCATCATCTCCGCCGATTTTTCTCACAGCGATGCTCCTCACATAGCAGCCGAAGCGTATCCCCCAATCGACCATCTGTTGCAGAAGTTCCTCATTCCGATGAGGGACTTCATCGAAACTTTTCTCGAGAGCCCGGATCCGCTCAACCAAATTCCGCACCAAGGCGAAACTTTCCAGGACGTCGTTGGGTAGCTCGGACTTGTCCTCCTGGGTCGTCACTGGAAACCGAATCAGTCCATACATTAATTGTTGACGATCATCGATCAGATCAGAAGAGAAACCATGGACTCATACGCTCTGAGGCTTCTCGATGTCATGGAATTCTCGAAACTGTTGCAGTACAGCGAGAGATACACATAGACAGAGAGATCGCAGGCGCAATGGCTGAGGCGAGCTCACAGGTGAGATGTAGATGACTCACAGTTCAATAGTTGCTCCAACAAGTTGCAGAGTTCGGAATCGTCCGATGTAGAGTGCGCTGTCGGCTTCTTCTTATTCTTCCCCATGATGAGGTGGAGTCTGCTCCTGCGAGAAGAGAAAGGAACGAACACGTAAAACTCCGACGACTTGACGATTCCCAACCCGGACCCGGCCGACAATCCCCCTGTCCCTCGTCTTGAGCTTCAAGGCAATCCCGGTCTTGAGCTCCCCTCGTGGAGAAGGGGGAGATCTCTTCACTGCAGATGGCAGTTTCACGCGCGACTTACCCTACCGGAAACCCAGGGGATGAAGTCCGCTCTTTTTCCCAATATCAACGGAACTTCGCCTATGCGTTTCTACCTCGTGTCTGAGTGACCCTCTCCGGCCGCAGTCTCGAGCTAGAGGCCGACGCTCTGAACCATGCTCCCGGAACCGGCCTCCCCCATCGAATGAGAGGCCGGCTCTGAGCGCGGCGTTCTTCCAGTTCGCAAACGCGACCCATAGGGAGTGACTCGTGAAGCCCGTCGAATCAATTGCTGACCGGGAAACCTTTGATTCGCCGATTGCAAATTATATTGACGGGATCTCTTATCCTTGATCAGGTGTTGGCCGAAGCCTTCCCAAACAGCTGATTCCGTATATGGACATTTTAAAAGGGAAGTCAGGGTCACGCCGCCTTGGAACTCGAGGCTCCTTGCTGTACTCACGGCAAGCTCCCAGACGTTTCGCTTACCGATCTCAGACGATCATGTCACCACCTATCACGGGTCCAGGTTCAGATCTCAGCTGAGGAGCCGGGATAGGATCTCGCTCGCCCGTATTGCCGCAGTTCGTAAAAGCCGCGAGCGTAGCAGACGATAGCGCCCGCGAGCGGTGATATAGTTTTTGAATCGACGATCAGGGGACTTAAAAGGGAGAGAGGAGGAAGGGAGAGAGAAAAGCGCGCATCGCATGTCGTCTGCTACTGGTTGCTTTCGGACGGACGAAAACAATAATAGAACCGTCGATCTAGATCTCGATCGCTGGTGGAAGGTTCGGGTTCTGGTTTCGTAGGGTCCGCGTCGTGCTCGACGCTTGGTTCTACGGGATATCATCGAGTCAAATCCACTTTGTGGCGGTGAACTCCCCGGGAGGAAGGATGCTCGCCCTCCTTTGAAGTTGAGCGTAAACACGCCAACTGCTGCAACGGACATCTATGCACTGTTTTCCACTGTCTCGGATCGGACGGTCTTGATCAACTTTCAAACGGAGGTAAGTAAGAAGCAGTAAGAAGCACTCTACTGAGAGTTTTCCAACTCCCCTCTGCGGATGGTGGGCTACTCGATGATATGGCGCTATGTATGTGAGCCGTACCACGTCTGATCGTCAGTAACGGTAGATGCTCTGCAGCTGATTTTCCCGGAGCCCTTGGGACCCGTACTTGAATCCCCCCATGTTATCCGAATTGTCTTCTGTTGTACTGGTATCTATTTCTCTAATCGATGAATGAACTCTGATGGCACCTAAATGGTTCGCTTCAGGGACAATGATAACCCTAGCAAAAAAACTGAAAAGGAATGGAGACCCATCCGAAACTCCAGAGAGGCCACCAACGCTATTCAGCTTCCGGGACAGGCTTCTGCCCGGTCAGGTCAGTTGAAGTTCCCGAAATATAGTCGGCACCAGCCCCGAATTCAGCGGCCGTAAGCCTGGTTTTTAATCCATTAGTGGGGAGGAGGAGATGAAAACTTACGAGTCCTCCATCACAGGTGGCCGAACTGACACCCGAAGTTTTACCATCCACCGCCCAAGTTAGCTTTCCCCATCCCGACAGCCTCCATAAATTCCACGTGTACATCAGACCGACGGAAGGTTACTGGCGTGGAGGTCGCTTCGAATTCGAAGTCTCAGTCCCGGAGGACTATAATATGTCTCCTCCCAAGGTTCGTTAGTCGAAATGGAGATCTAAAACAAGAATGTTCTGAGATTATTCGGAGGTGACCTGAGAGTACGAGCTGCGGAATCCCGCGTTTATCGCTCTTGCGACATCCGACAGCTTGAGAATAATAATGATTGGTCGTCTCTCTGTCCGTTCAGGTCCGTTGCAAAACGATTGTTTGGCACCCGAACATACGCTACAGAAGTGGATCTGTGTGTCTATCACTCCTGCGGAAGTCGGCACTCGACGACGGAATGGGTTGGACTCCTACGCGCAGCCTCAAGGACATCGTTCTAGGCCTCGACGGACTTTTCGGAGACCTCGTGAACTTTGATGACCCTCTGAATTTGGATGCCGCGCAAGAGTTCCGTCTCAACTCCGAATTGTTCCAGCGGAAAGCATGGGATCATGTGCGCAAGTACGCGATGTGATATGCTGACACCTTGAGTTTCTGTTCATTCCTGTAATATGTGCTGATTATCCTATTTTTGCGGATCGCTTTGTCCTCCTCTGATCCGAAAACAGCATACGGAACTGTTGTTATCGTTACCTCCGAATCTACATATGTCGGCTGCGAATGTTCGCACTCGGTCCGCGAAACCGCGAGAGTGTTGCTCGTCAGATTCGAGGAGTGCGACTCGAAATCCATCAAACCTCTACGATGGCTCAGCATGGTGGGATGATCCCGGGACGTGCAGGCAATTGGAATCGATCTCCTGCACCATGCGGAAAATGATGTTCTCTGAGCGGTGTTCTCTCTCTGTCAGCTGTTGAGATTGCGGGTGTAATTTTCAAAGCCCCAGTCTCGAGCTCGTGGAGTTGTTTGTGCTCTAGCCTCCAGCTTGTCGAGTGCTCGGAGCGATCGGCTCCCCATCGGGGGAATCGTCCCGCGGACCTCGAGTCGATGGTTGAAATTAGTTTTTTTCCAAAATGCAGCGACAGCGTCGAGAACACCGCTCGGAGCCGAGACTCTGCAAAACTCAGAACACTCGGTCGTCTTGTGGCCGAGTCTTTCGAGAAGGGCGCAGTAATGGAACCCGGAAGCCAAAAAGTGATAGAGTCTTCTCGGTTCGTGTAAGGATGGCTCAGCTCCAATTCAAAGGTTGACGTCAGAGAGGATTCCCTTGCAACGAACTGACCTCTTGGAGAAGGACGGAACGGCCTATATGATGTATGAGAGGACTCAAGCGGTTCACTTTTGATCGACCACCCCGGCCGATTCCGCCGCCACAGATATTTATCATCAGTCGTGCACTCATCGAAATCAATAAAACTGGTCGTTCACCCGAGAAGGAAACCCGCGTTCTTCGTAGGCAGCGAGAGATTGATTATTCATTATCATCGAAGAAAAATTGATGGAAAGGAAGGAATACCATCAGCCATCGCATTCACAGTCGATATCTTTGTGTTACCCATGAAACAACAATTTGCAGTGAGATCTGATCCGTCGCCTGCGGAAATCGAGAGCCTTCAGATCAGAAGGTCCGTCCCTCAGACACCTAGATTGGGAATGACCTGAATATTTTGTGAGCTCGTTCCCTAGAATGGTCATCTGCGTCGACGGCGGTGATAGCTACTCTCAGCTCGGACAAGTGCTCCCGAGGAGTCATGGAGGTCTTAGGGGCAGCCTTACACAAACTCACGGTCGGTTGTGATAGTCTCGACCTAGTGGGTGACTCGACGCGAGCGGCGAATTACAGGTCAGAATGGAACCCAGCCTCTTCTTAGTGCTTGGCTTGATAGCGGAGAGTACCTCATTGTATCTCTCAGCTTAGACACCATCTAATGATCAGCTGGGGAGTCAGCTGCTTGCGAGAACGTCCAGGCGTTCTGGAGCTGCACGTGCTGTCGAGGGATTCGATCCTCTCCCCCTTACCGAGAGCGCGGTCGGAACAAAGAGCAGACATTTGATTGTTTTGTGCCACAGACCCAATCCCTCGGAAAAGAGCGAACACATCAATTAAAAAAAGTACGAAACTGATTCAAACTTGGAAGTCGAGCAGTCCAATTCCACGAAAAGGAGCCTCGCGACATTATCTCGGTAACTAAAAAAAATCCATTCGAGCGTCCTGATTCCCGAGGGTGTAGTGAAATCATTTTGAGGGAAATTTCAGATAAGATTTATCGAGGCTACTGAGCTTTACCCGCCCCGCAGATCTTGATCCCGGATACCGGTACAACTTGATTTTCAGGTCTTAGGATCCCAAACCGACAGGAAGTCTGAGGTCGAGACCTCTGCCAGTGGTGGTTTAATACTCAAGACATTTCCAACCCTTTGGATGGTCTCGCTGACCTGATCTGGCCTCGCGGCTTTCGACGGGAGTACAAGAATGCAAATAAATTCTGTCAGTGTCATTGTCGAATCTTTGTGAAGGTTGGAGCCCGAGAGAATCCGCTCGAATATACGTCATGATAACCCTCCGCAAGCGAGTCAGGAGGTCGGGCGGCGATGGCGAGGATGATGGCGACAGTAGGGAGCCAGGGCCTTCTCGGCCGTGCCGGCCTGGCTACCCGTCGAAAAAGCTCTCTATCAGGGACCAGCTCCTCCAGAAAGAGGTGAGTGTTCCGGAGTGCTCAGGGCTGCGTTCTTCGAGGAATGATCCATTACCCAACCTCATTGAACATTCTCCATGCAATACCGTCTCTCCGTCGACCTCGAATATTAATAATAATTGGTCGACTCTCTTTTCCAAGGTTATGGAGTTGAACCAAGACATTTTGCCAAACACGGTCAGAGTACACTTCCCGGATCCGAATGCATTCCATCATTTAATGGTATCGGTCTGTCCATCTGAAGGCCTTTGGTCGGGCGGTGTCTTCGATTTCGAGATAAACGTGCCGGAAGAGTACAATATGGCCCCTCCAAAGGTGACTCGAAAGTATCAGAGCTGGAGACGAGCATGTCAATCACTCGAGTTCTCTCAACCCTTGAGACCGCTCCGGGGCTGAAATATTTGTCTACTCCCCCAGGTGAAGTGCCTGACGCCGTCGTGGCACCCGAACATTAATTTTCGCAGCGGCGAAATCTGCCTGTCTCTCCTGCGAGTGTCCGCAATCGACAATATGGGCTGGACTCCTACTCGGCGTTTGAGGGACGTCGTGTTAGGGCTCGATGGACTTTTCGGAGATCTCGTCAATTTTGAAGACCCCCTGAACAAAGATGCTGCTGACCAGTATCAATGTTGCTCCGAGGCATTCGAACAGAAAGTCCGCGATCTGATCCGACAAAATTTCCGTTCGAGGCGTCGATGATGCGACCGCCTGCATCGGCCAGCGTCGCGAAATGTAATGTATTCAGTCTTTACTCTTTCGGAGATTTCGTCTCCGAAAAGTCTGCCGGGAAGCTAGCAGCTCACAATTAGCGGTCGGGAAACATGGAACAATTTGCCAAGCCCTAAGGGGCTCCCCCGAGTCATTTTGAACCAGCCCGTGTGCAGCAATATCATTCCGGCTTTCCTGGAATCCGAACGCGTGAAGATCCATCCGAAAATCGAGCACTAGGATATCTTATGAAAATATAATGGAAGGTTCCCCGGTAACGAGTTGTGTTTTTCGAAGGATTGAGTGCTTTTCTTGATCGGACCCACACGCGGGTGCTCATCTCCCGCTGAGTTCTAGGCTCGGAAAGCTGAGGCTCTCGTAACCCCAAAGCGCTGTCGTGTTCGTGGATTAGCGATCTGTTTGATCTGTCTGATGACTCCCGACCAGCGGCGGTTCCGAGAGCATCAGAATCCTGTTCGGGGCCGAACCCTGATAGATTTGTCTCGAGTGTCTTTCGATCAGAGCGATTGTTTGGATGGGTTCATTAGTCTCCCTATCTGACGGATGCTAGTATGAGAAAGAACGAGGGGAAAATGCTTAATTGCGAATTGCGATGAGTCGAAACGAGACTTGCGACCAATCGCAAGCGACAAGGTGACCCCTCTCCTTCACTCTCGCAGCGTCCTGGAATCGACCGGTAACTCCACCTGCCTACGGGGATAGAGGGGCTCTAGATTCGCTGAAGGTTTCTGTCATCGTGGGGAAGCGGAAATCTCTGGTGTTCTTCGAGACAGCCGATCGGGATATATAGGTCTCATCGAAGACGACGGGTTTTCGGGAGACCGCTTCTCCTCAAATCATGTAAACGACCAGACACAAGACCTTCATTCCTGTTAGGGAAATGTCACAAGGAGAGCAGCGATCATAGAAGCAATGAGATGAGTCTGAAGTGATTCGAGAACAGCCTGAAATGCCGATTGACCCCATTGAGTGTCAGAGAGTCGTGACACTTGATTGGGACTTTAGGCAACCGGGGACCCCGGAAAGAATATTTATCTGCTCATTCTCGCCGAAGTGTCCCCGTGAATTTCCCTGTTTAGAGTAGAGGCTCATTCTCTCGTAGTCGATAACCACGAACCGATGAGAAGGTTCGGTCGCATTTCAGGGCAAGTAATGATCCGAACTGCGATACTCAGCTATTTCGAAAGGGTCGCACGCAGGACTCAAGACGCGGAGAGGAGGGAGAAGTCGAAAACAGCGCGTACAAGCAAAAACTTTAATGGAAAAACATTTTATATACATTAGATTTTAATTTAAGGCTGTGGGAGGTAGCTTGCATGATTTTCCAAACCGGTCATGAGAGTTCAGATGGGAGGAGTCGATCTGTATCTCCAAAACCATTTAATCCGTGCGTCCGATATCCATCGAGGGATGAAATTCCCTACACCAATGTTATTGAACGTTCTGACATAGGCAGGCATGGGCGGCGAGGCTTGTGGGATGGGGGCGTGCGGTGCCAGGCTCCGCAAGCAGAGCCCTGCCCGGCTTCCTCATCGATGCCCCCGCCAAGGCTCAAGGATATCCCACGACGATCGAGCTCGCCTGACTCGAAACGAGCAAGGCGATCCTTCCACTGGGTCTTTTCCGCGGATGTCAGCGATTCCCACACTCGTGAAGCCTCATCAAACAGAACAGAAACAGACATCGCTGACGAGCTGTTTTTCTTCTCGGCGACGAACATCCTAATGAATTGATACATTGGGCTCACGCGAGGCATGATGGGGTTTTCTTCAAGAAAGCCGTTAATCTTCCAGCAGAATGGACGGATCTGGACGCGTTGAACTCGCTCTCGAGCACCCCGGCGGATCACTGCGCTCTCAGACAAACCTACGGCTCTGAAGATGGCGAGATCAAAAACTCGGTAACAGGCGTCTGGAAGATAGGCGAGCAAGGAAACTGTTTCTTCGTCGGAATGGAGACGAAGAGACTCACAGCATGAATGATCTTCATGGGCTTCCGATCGGCGATAATGAATCCCCAATTTCTCACCCGAGGAGAGGAGGTCGAGCATGACGCGAAAGTTCAATTCTAGAATCCATGCGACGTGGGCGGTTCATCTATTTTTCAATACGATATTTTTCAGCGGCTTCCGGACCGGCGAGGAGCTCGCCCGCTATTCTTGAGTGAAGGCGGAGCTCCTCTCCTTCGAGTCAGACCGAATCTTCATGGATCGCAGGGTGTCCGCGGGGTTGAGTACGAATGGTTCTCGCCACAGATCGATCATTAGTATCGGCCAATGCCGATTCTGCTCTTCGGGTTGAGGAAAATTGAGAATCAGGTCCTGTGTCAAGCTCCTTCGCGACATCCACATTCGTGCCTTTCGTTCAAGACGCCCACCCAGAGCTAGTTCTTATTACTGGAAAAATCGTCAGAACACGGAACATTGTATAGAATCTGAGGTCTCATCCCCGACATCAGCTGGAGTGAAGTCAGTCGGAGCACTCTCGATTCCTGCCATCTTTCATCCTCCCGAGGTTCGGTGACGGCTGGAGTGAGAAGAACGAGGAGTCGAGCATTCGCTATGCCGGGAGCTTCTCGAGCTGCTCATGAACAATAATTGGTTCTAAGTAGGCTCCTGAATTACCTAGATTGAACGCGGGAATGACAAATGCATGAAGAAATCGCGAAGTTCACCGGCGATAACTCTCTGCCGCCGGAGGATGCCTTCCCAGTTATCAACCGTCGGGCCCCAACTTATTTTCTCATAACTCGGCGTTGAGGTTTTCACTCGACCCTCAATTAGTCGAATCAGAACTCTCGACTGGAGAGCGCTGAGAATGGGAGGGGAGCCGCCGAGTTCCCTGAACAATTTTCTCTCGTCTTCCCTGCGACGCATGGTTCCTGCGTCCCACGTAAGCGAAGAGCCTCGCGCGAAAACGCCCCTTACGCCCTGAGCTTCATAAGCAGAATCCGCTCTCTGAGTCGACGAGCGTAGCAAATGCCCCCCCATCCATGGGCTGTCGAAGTAAGGTCGCGTTCTGAGCTCAGAGAATCCCTGAATCGTCGCGAGAGCCAGATCGAGCGGAGCTTCGTGTTAGAGTCTTGGCTTCGATTGCCTGATGATTTGTACGGCGATCTCAGATGCGGCATGCATTTTCACTGTTCTCGGATAGGGATGTGTAATGAGTTGAGCACTGGGGGTCGATGCCCAACTCTTGCCTGATTGGTTGTCCTCAATCGACTCTCTGACCTGAAGTCCGCTCTCCCTTTTCTCTCCGACAGAAGTGCTCTCTCAGATGTGCTTCCTCTGGCTTATTGAGTGGGACTCTCCGGGTCTGTTCGGAGGAACCTGTGCGCGACGTTCCACACGCGGGCATGCTCTGAAATGAAGAGAATACGGTGGATTGGAAGACACAGAGCCGCAACGACGCCGCTCCGTCGGTGTCGCGGGTGCGATTTCTGCTACCGTCGAAATGAGCAGAAACACCATACATTCGCTCTCCGGATCCGTCCTCGGAAGCGATGTGAAAATAAATATCCGGGACGTTTAATCTTCATTCTGTGGTGGCAGAGTTGAAAGACAACAAAACGCGACGCCGACGTTGCCCTTTATTTCATACTGAGTTCTTATTCCGTCATCTCTATTCGCCTTCTCCGCGCTGGATTGTTGCGGATCGCGCCCTCAGGATTCGAACAGTAGAATATATCGAGTACGCCGAGCTCCGCTGAACGACAGGCCGCTGTGGTTGACGCTGTCGCGCTGTCTCGCGTGACACCAGAGTCCACCGAAAAGCCGAGAGCTTCGATTGACCAAAAACAGCTCGGATCAGGAATAACATCCAGCCATCCGGCGGATCGAGAGCCTCGAACGAGCCAACGCAGCAGTTGCTTCTCTGTCTCTCTCATTTACCGACGAAAAATTTGGTAGGCTCCATCAGGGACGTCCCCTGTCTATCCGCAGTTATTCGTTAACCCTCGAGGACGGGGAATCCGATGACGATCTAAGCACACCTCACCGTGATCGATGGGCTCAGAACGTCCATGATCCTCTATTTTCATGAGCGACGAGCCGCGCGGAAACTCGGAGCTTCTTTTTGCTACGCGTCCCATTTAACCGTAATCAGCTCAGCAGGTCATTCCGGAGCTACGGAGAATTCGAATCCGGATCCATGTGGAACCGATGCGATGAGATGAGTCTTGGGACATCTGAGACTCGGCATTTCATTCGTCATCTGATCCAATTACCTACCGATCCTATCTGATACATTAGCCGGCTGCGTATCGAGCCCAGAGGAACCCTGCGCTAGCGGTGGTTGAGCGGAGCCTCGCGTAAAAATCGATCGCTAAAAGATGATCCAGGCGAGCCCAGGATCTACTTTTTTCTATCGGAATTCTGTTCTCCTCGAGAAGGGATGTCTCCATAGCTCGGCACCACCGCGGCCAGGAAAACCGAGCGAACCCAACGGGGGATCGATGATCGCCTCTTATTGAAACGTTTCGTGATTCGACTTTCGGAACCGGAGTCCCGCGAGTTTAGGCTCGCCATTTTCGACTGAGAAATTCCGGAAGTATTCGGCATTCCTCGGTCGCAGTCCTTCCGCATTGTTCTAAAACTGCGGAGCATGGCCTCGAATCAGGAAAAGTCCGGTCTCGGGATGCTGCGACTTCTCTGCATCCCGTTTCATCCAACGGCACTGCGAACTGCGAAGCTTCCCCAAGCCTCCGAGCTCTCATCCTCCCGTGACAGCACGAATTTCGCAGAGAAGATTGTCGAGGGAACGTTTCTGAATTTGAATCGGCGCTAGTTCGGTGGTGAAAGTTTCTCAGGTCTCGAATCGGTCCCGGACCGTCAAAGAAGACGCGTGGAGTCGGAAACTCGTGGACGGGACGCCCAGTTCCGCCAGAACTTCCATCAGAGATCATCGACGTCATCGAGCGCACTCTCCCATCAACAGATTCTATCTTCGCAGACCCGTATCCGGCAATATTCTCCACGACGATACCCCGTAGTGTGACTTCGGTGGGATCGAAAGCTGTGTCCTGGCCTAGCGCACGATCGTGCGAAACAAACGGCGTACAATTGCACGAGCCAGAGTGCGCTCATCGTGTAAGGTGAGGGAAGAGAGCGCGCGGAGTAGGAGAGACGACGCTGTCTGCTCTCTGCTTGTCACGGCGGTCTGAAGAGCGCGAGCTGTTTTGTAGTTGTGTGTGTGCTGCGCCAGAAGCTTTCCGCGCTCGTTTATGGCGGCCCATTCCACACTCTAGCAGAATCCCCGATAGGAAGCTTTGTTCGACTCGAAGTCCAGCGAGGCTCTGCGTTGTCGTTCGGCGCAGCGATCACAAAGAAACGTTCGAGGACCTTCGTGCTGCGCGAGCGAGTGAGTGACTTTCAGCAAGGATACCGAGCCTAAACATGAAAGTGGCCCGGAACTCGATCACAGTCGTTCTCGGAAGTCAGTGGGGAGATGAGGGCAAAGGCAAATTGGTCGACACACTAGCCTCGGAGGTGGATTTGGTGGCTCGATGCCAGGGAGGCAACAACGCGGGTCATACCGTGGTTGTCGATGGCAAGCATTACCATTTCCACCTTATTCCCGGGGGAATGATCCACCCGAAATGCATCGGTGTCATCGGGAACGGCTGCGTCGTTCATCCCGGCCAGCTGATCGACGAGATCCGGAGTCTCGAGGAGAGTGGGCTCTCGCTGATCGACCGACTCTTCGTTTCGAACCGGGCTCATCTCGTGTTCGATTTTCATCAGCAGTGCGATGGCTTACACGAAGCGGAGAAAAGCAAGAAACAACAGAATCTGGGCACGACCAAGAAGGGGATCGGGCCCACTTACAGCTCTAAAGCTCAGCGCAACGGCATTCGAATGTGTGACCTGATCGGAGATTGGCAGGTATTCGAGACCAAATTCAAGACGCTCGTGGAATTCCATCAGCGGATGTTCAAGGACCTCAACGTGGACCTCGGAGCCAGCCTGAAAACCCTCAAAGACCATGCCGATAAGCTCCGGCCGTATATCAAAGACACTGTCACGTACATCCATGAAGAAATCCAGGCCGGAAGGAGAATCATGGTCGAGGGCGCCAACGCCGCCATGCTGGACATCGATTTCGGAACGTATCCGTACGTCACTTCGTCCAACTGCACAGTGGGAGGGGTTTGCACCGGAATCGGAATTCCTCCCAGCTTCGTCGGCCTCGTTTATGGCGTATTCAAAGCCTACTGCACCCGAGTTGGAGACGGACCGTTCCCGACAGAGTTGACGAATGACCTTGGGAAGCTTCTGCAGGAACGCGGCGGCGAGAAAGGCGTCACCACGGGGAGACCGCGCAGATGCGGATGGTTGGACGTTGTGATGCTGAAATATTCGACCCTTGTGAACGGCTACACGGCGTTCTGTCTGACGAAGCTTGACATCTTCGATGTTTTGGATGAACTGAAAATCGGCTACAAGTACAAAATAGGCGATCGAGTCCTCGAGACCCCGCCCGCTAGCACTGACGAGCTGGCCAAAGTCGAGGTGGAATACGTCACGATGCCCGGCTGGAAAGAGTCCACTGAAAACTGCCGAACGTTCGACGAACTTCCCCAGAACGCGAAGAACTACATCCTGAAATGCGAGTCTCTTCTCGGAGTTCGAGTGCAGTACATCGGGGTGGGGAAATCGCGTGCCGATATCATCAAGGTCTTCTAGTTCTCGCTCGAGGAGGAGACTGTTGAGTTTGGAGTTCCGTGTTGTGATCCGGTGTTAATTGGTGTGTCAGACAGGTGGGGGTCGAGGGGTCCAATAAGTCTGTCTGGAGCGGTGTTTATGCCGGTACAAGTTGCTTTTCCGGTCTACTCGAGGATTTAATCGAGCCCGAGATGTAGCCTCATATTCGATGTGTAACCCACGATTTCCGAACGAATGAAGTATATCTGGTCCCACTCCTGACGTCATCAATCGCTATTTGTGTCCCTAGGAGAAAGAGCTCCGTCATCTACCGTGTCGAACAAGAACAGGCTTCGCCGCCCCGAATCGCAGGGGAAACACTGAAAATTGCTTTTCCGAACTTCGTTTGAGCTTTCTATCTCCCATTTTCATCAGATCTGTCCATGTTGGCGAAGAACTGCCTAATCCCGGATTCCGTCTTTTTTCTGGGCCCACGCAGTTTCAGATTTTGTCTCCCATACTTGTTAGATACGCCTTCGACTCGATTTCTCTTAATTCGAAAAACACGCGACGCGGGACGACGAGTTGGATCGGGGGCCATCTCCGCTAGCGATTTGAATACAGGATTCCCGTGCTCGCTCGAATACATTGAGGTATGCTTCGGCGCTCTCCTCATATACGTCTCACTCCAGGATGGTCTTTCGGGCTGCAGGCGATAAGGAAGATTGCATTAATTCTGAGTTGTCCGCATCAAACGCTATAAACGATATTACGATTGGAGGCGACTTTATCGCGCCTCGTGATTTTTCTACTTATCGCCACGCATGAGAATTCTCAACAAGGTATATTTTGCCGTTCGTCGACGAAGGTTTTTCCTCCGTGTGCCTTCACCTGAGAGAGGAAACGGAGGAGATCGCTGATGATAATAATAAATCGGGTGTGGCTCGCCGAGAGCTTTCGAGTACCTACGATGATAATTTATTGACCTGCGTCCGAAAAGAGAACACGAGGAACCTCTAGGTTCGCGACAGAGCCCGCGGGTTCCGAAACGGAAGGGCGATGAGTTTTTTTCCTTTCATCCTCGCCGCAGATTGCTTTGTCGGCTCCTCGTGTCCGTGCGCCGTCGTTAACCGAGAAGGGCTTCTTCGAGAGTGAGATAACCTTAATGGGTGGTCATATCGTATTACATTTATTATCCGGCGGAAGCGCGTCTCTAGCACAAACATGGGCTTCAGCTGCTTGACTTCCATTGGGAATTCTGCTCTCGTGAGAATCGAAAAAAGCTTCATCCTTAAAAAGTGCCTCCCCCCTGTGGACTCGGACTCTACATGAGTCTCACAAAGCTCATAAACATTAGGATCCTGTTTCTTCAACGGAGCGACGCCTCGAACGGTGGATTGACAGGTGGTAAAAGTTGTGACGATTCAGTGTGTATTTGCGAGGACTTCTCATGCCGGATCCTCGAACGACGGTATGTAAGTCATTGGCAAGTCGATGTCGAAGATATGCTCCCAAGGCTCCTTCAAACTTTCGATGAGTAGCAGAAGGGATCCGACGGACGCCGTTTCGAAATACCATATCTGTGAATCAGAGAATTTTAGGATGAGCTAAGGATACTTATCGCCGGAGAGGAAGGGCTCCCGCTCCCGGATCGATTCGAATACCTGTTCCCTGTTGGTGGTCTCATCAGTGAAAATCAAGTTCGCGACACACGGATTCTTCTCGTCGACCGAAACCGAGCTCAGAGCCTGCACGGATTGAGCGCAAATCTCTGTGAATTTCACCTGGAAGGCAGAGAGCTGGTAGTGAAACTCATTAATTCTTCTAACAAAGGCGTCTAGGGAATACTTCGCGGTCAGTGGAATGTCTCCGATCTGATGTTGATGTTGCGGCGGCACGTTCCGTGAACGAGATCAGCTGGACGAGTTTTCGAAGATATCAAGGAACAACGGAGTCGTGGCCAAATGTCAACCGAATCTCCAGAAGGTCAGTCTCTGGGGCTTCTCTGTACTCATGACATCGTTGCGATGAGAACTCCGAGGAGGAGGATCTCGACTGCGAGCTATGAAGACACTCGGGCGGGGAATCTCATGCGCGATCATCGTTTTGACTTTTCGTGTTTCAGGATCATCCACAAGCACAAATCGAGTGATATTGCGGGAAAGAGCCCACGAAGGTTTCATCGTGCGCGTCGACGAGGGGCAAGCCACTGTTAGATTGGGCAAGGTCATCCGTTCTTTCGACGCACGTCACTTGCGGGGCCCCGATCCGAAACCCCATGATCTCAGGATGGTTTTCAAGTCCGGGGATCGGGTCGGCGTGATGCTGAGCCACGATCAAGTGATAGAGGTCCGAATGGCCTCCAAGATCCGAAGTAAATCGCTCGATCGGCATTTCCCCAAACAGCGACCTGATACGCTAACGCCGCCATCGTGGTTCCAACCAAACCCTCCGCTGACGAGTCGTCGTCAGATGCCGACGCTTCTGCCGCCGAGCTCTCAGGACGGCATGTTCATGTCGAAACACTGCAATTGTACCAGACCGGATATGGTCCCGAGCCCACATAGTCCGTCATTCTTGAGGAGAGACGTTTGGCCGCAGATGCCTCGCCATATTACGGCCTCAAACGGACACGACATCCCATCGATGAACGTAGCTTTCACCACCAATCTCAGCTGTCCCTTCGCCAGAGGACAATACTAGAAGGGAACTCTCAGACAAAGATCAGGTTTCAGGCTCTCCGACTCCCGAGCGGCGCCACCGTTACCCTTGCCAGACAATGGCATTCCTAAATACTGAGATGAGTTTTTTTAATCCGACGACTAGGGCTTCACTGAAAGTAAGTTCCATATCCGCGGAAATGCTCTCGGTTCAGTCCTCGAGAGCATGCAAGACCCCGAAGCAAACGAGTTGTTGTCCGAAGGAGCAGATACGGGTTGACAAGCAAGGGCAAGAGCCAGAGATTCTATCTCGGTCCATTTTATTTAAGCTCGCCCTTCCTTGTGGAATAAAAGCGACGAATCCGTCATGTGGCTTATCTTTCTAAGAAAACAAGATCGGGATACCTTTTCGGGCTCGACGTGGTTCTCCCGGACCACAACTATGTCCTCGGCGGCTACCGCGATGCACAGATATTGCTTTCCGAGTGGTAGCGCTCCCGTGTCGTCTATCAGAGCCCAATATCCCTAGAAGGAGAAAACGATGATCAGTCCATGGGTCCAATCTTCTGAGAGCTGCCGTTATTCGTCGACGGCGGTCGATCAGTCGCGCACTTATTAGAGGGAGCATGAAGTGGAGCGAGAAGACCTTGAACTATTATCATCAAGAACCGAATGACGGTGAGAGCGGCTTCCTACTAAGCAGGTCGATGTTCTGATTTCCATGATAGATTTTATTCTTCCGTCTTCGAAACTAACCGAAGAATATGACCGGAGTGATTGGCCAGCGAGTTTGAGCGATGCGAAGAGTTCCCGCTGTGTGACCTCGGATTTTCTCGTGACTCCCTCCACCGAAACCACTGGAATCAAATGGCAGATTACGTGAATTGAGTACGAGTATACGCTCCCCGAGAAGGAGATAAATGTAGGACGAGAGGTCATTGGAGCTTGGGGAGGCCGACACGCACCGTCGAGCAGTTCCGCGAGTTGACTGCACCAATTCGAATCACCGATGTAAACCAGCGCCCAAGACGGCCCGTCATCATCCTTCGCTTCCAGTATGAGGCTTTGACCTCCTAGTTGGACGGTGGTCCTTTTGAAGTTTTCCCGAGTGACAGTCCAGACGATTGAATCAGAGCTTTTCTTCGGAGGGACATTGAGCCCAGTAAGATGGACTCGATCGGTGGAGACGATAACAAAACCTTCGGATGGGAATAGTGACGGTTGGCGAACAGCTCGTTTTCCGTCAACTCATAGAGCATGGCATGAAACTCGAGCATTCGAGGATTCCGGCACAGCAGTCGAGCCCGGAATCGAAATCTTCAACTAGATATTCGTAAGTCTATAAATTAACCTTCAAAAGCCCGCGAGCGAAAAACAATGTGGGCCCGGTAGGCGCCCATGAAGCATTCATCATCCGAGAAACATTCGATTTCGAGGTTCATCCTACTGTGGATGTCTAATGAGTTCGCCCTGTCGTAACGGATGCTCTGACCACGAAGTTCCCTCAGCTTTGTCCAAACGGAAGCGTCCTGCTCGACCCTGTACGCCGCCGAACTCGATTCGGAATCTGCGCTGTAGCTCGCGCTGGAATTTCAATAAAAATCACTTCATCTATTTGAGAATCCGAGAGAGGCATAGCCTCTAGAGGAGGGAAACTCGATGGAGCTGCTCACGTTAGAGAACTTCCTGATTCCACCGGGGGTGGGGCGTCGACGGACGTCTTGTTCTCCGAAGCGGTGAGGAAAACGGACTCATCCAAGATTTCGATGGTTTTCGCCTCGTCGAGGATGGTTGGGGATTCTCTGCAAGCACGTGTGATTTAACTCGCGCGATCAATGCTCGAGAATCATGATTTCTGCCTTTGAATCTTCGACGGAATCAATGTTCCTCGATGATCGGAAGATTCCTATAATCCATTTCTGATACGGTTTCGATCCTCACTCTTTATCACTCTCGCCGGCGAGAACCGGTGGCCCGAGCTCGTCGTCGATCAGGTCTCCTGCTGATTCGGTCTGTGAGGTCGTCATCAGAGCCCCCCTGGGTTGCCTCTCGACGTCTTCGACGGTCAGCTCTATCGTATCCATGACTTTCTCGGACGAGTTCCCATCCTTGACCACGATGCAGCCATCTGAAACAGGAAAGAACAGCGAGCCGACGGTAGAAGAAATCATCGGATCTTCTACTCATAACCCCACTCCCCCTCTCCCGGAGAATCCGTCGGGAACTCACCACTTTGATGACTCTCCTTCCGACTTGCCTGGTCTTCTCGCGGGGTCTGAGTTTCTTGAGTTCGAGTCGATAGGTTCTCTTGTGGTTTATATGGCGTGCTCTGAGCTGTGGGGAACCTGAGGTCACTCGCTGCGGTCACCAACCACGCCTCTCCATCTCTCTTCCGCCGCTCCTCAACTGCTTCCCGCCAGTCCGCCGTCTCTTGGAAGCTGTTCTCCGTCGCAAGATGTGTCACCGACATGTCCCCTGGAGTAACAGAGAAGTATCGATCATCATGAGGGGATTGGGCTCGCCTCTCGAGCGATACCCATCGAATACACGCTCTCCGAGAAAAAGGAAGCGGTTCCGGACGTCGGAGTTCACGCTTTGCGCACGGCCAGGAACAGGCTGCTGACCGAGCCAACACCGTCCGGTTCCCCGCTGGATTCTTCCGAATTCGAGAGTGAGCTACGAACCTATGGTAGCTTTGCGAGACTTTGGTGTTTTGGTGGAGGCTCGAGATCCACTGCCCGTCCCCTCGTCGAGGGACCTCGTCGGAATAATGTCATCATCTGGCTGAGCGAGGGGCAGGACGATTACGCGGCCGCTGTGAACGTCGAACTTGCCATCGACCATGACGGTTTTGGCGATGCACCTGCGAGAATATCAGGCAATGAGTGAGAACATGAATAAATATTCCTCAGGATCACCATCTCGGATCCTGCTGATGCAACGGCATGGAATGATTCCATAGAGAAGATCGGACTCACGCGGAGATGCCCTTCAAGTAGTCTTTATGAAGGCTTATGGGATTCCCTTGTAGGTTTAGCTCATTTAGTTGCATTAAATTAGCGAGGGGCTCGAGCGCACGATACTCGCTGATCATGTTATGGCTGAGATCGAGAACTTTCAGGGCGGTCAGAACTTCAAGACCCCGTAGATCCTCCAACAGATTGTTCCGCATAGAGAGGTAGCTCAAGTACAGGAAACTCGATCGTCGATGAACAGTCGGAATTTTCCGGATGAAGTTAAACGAAAGGTCGACACAGACGAGCGATTCCAGATCCGAGATGTCCAACTGAGAGATAAAGTGACGATCACGGGTTATCAGCTCGGCGATAGGGTTCCTCATCGAGGAATTCGGATAGGAAATTCTGAGACGATTGTCTGCAGACGGCACATACTTCCTTGATTTGGTTGTAGGACAAGTCGAGGTTCTTGAGGGTAGGCGCTTCACGCAAGAAATCTTTGCCTTCGAAGGTAAGTAGCAAATTGTGCGAAAGTCGGAGAGTCGCCAACGAAGATAGCTCGTTTCCCTTTGCAAGATTCAGGAGCGGCTGTGGAAGTTTGCAGCATCGAAGTCATTGCCTTCCACCGCTTAATGGGGACACGGATACTTCTGCAGATCTTCATTTCCCATGAAAAATATTTCCTCGGATACACCTACCAGGACGCTTGAAAGACATTTTTGCACTGCCAGCGTTTCCAATTGGCCAGCAATCGACCCGAACCCGTCCAAGAGATGAGGCGGCACTCTTTGGAGCTCGAGGTGTCGGAGCGATCTGAAGCTCGATAGGGCGATTCCTCCCTAAACGGAGCAAAGCTTGTTTCAAGTGAGCTCGATTGGAATCCATGAGAAAGATTACTTTCTGCACGGATGAATATCCCCGAGAAAAAAAACACTCCTCACCTCGACAGTACGGGCTGAGGAGACCAGCTTAAGTTTCACGACCTTCTGGATAATGTCATGAAGAAACAGAATATCTTGCAGGACGTCAGATATCGCGTTGGAAGATAGCACCTGCGAGAAATCGAGGAATAAAGGATTCGCTTATTCAAATTCCTCCGGCTATTCGTACACATGGCTCGGGGAGGTTCCGAAGACGCACGGTTTAGCGTTCAGCCCCACAGATAATCCGAGAATGCTCAAGCCCGGAGCCCGCCTGGCTTCTGACCAATGAATTGAGGAGGATAAAATCTCGATCAGGAGGCCGATAAGAGAAACGAACATCCGCCTTGGCCGATGATACTGAGCTTCGCCCCGGATTTTCACGAGACTCTCGATCAACCGAAGCGCGATGGAAGGTTACCTCGCGTTGTAAAGTTCCCTGCTGGCCCGGAATTTCTCCCTTATGGTCTTCCCTCACCGAGAGATTGCCCCACCGAGCTCTCGGTCTTTCGGGATAGTCAGCCGACCCTGAAATAGTCCCGAGCTCCTCCCGAGTCTTGGCGCTTGGTGATCGATGTCGATCATCGGGCCTGCCCGTTCATTGGTTGCTTGGTTCTTACTTATGTATAATACATCCTACCCCGCCGCCCTGACGTCGGCAACCGTCTGATTGACATTCAGGAAGGCGTATACTGGTGTGACGGGGACAGACATGTCTTGACTAATCGGATTCATCTGCGGAAAGTTACTCAGATAGAGCCCGGGAGACATTTGAGAGTTCATGTGGCCTCGAGTACCTGCTCCCACCGTCCCAATCTTCTTCTTCGATTCGTTATAGATTTCGCCCGGCGTCCGAAACATGCGGATTATTGTCCATGTAATGTATTGCCCAATATCGGAGAGTTTTCTGTAGCTCAGCGAGATCGTGAACAGTGTGTCTACATTGTGTCGCTCCCTACGGAATCTAAGGTCCGCTGGGGAGTCCTGGCATGGAATCGGAATGGTATCGAGGCTGGCAATCGAAATGTGGAATCCGCAGGAATTCTCACCCGGAAAGAGTCAGATTCTGCCTGCTCTGATGACAACAAGGAGAAGGCCCGGGTGAGTTGACACAGGGAGCTCGTTGTAAGACTCAACTTGCTGGACCCATTGAGGATATTTTCGCCTGAAAAAAAAAATTGAAGTTCTGATCGCCAGTTTTCTGATTCCTGAGAGTCGGAGAAACGCTGAACCCCAGCTCATGATCGCTTCATACTCGCGCTCTTATATTCATAGCATCCCGAAGAAGTTTCTATTCAATGGAATACAACGACGAGAGGGCAATAATTCATCTATCTACCGCGAGGAGCCACTAGCGTCGACTGCGAAGAAGTTTTCCATCGAATTGAGACTTGAGGTTTTTGTCGATATTGTCGCACCCAAAAGCTTCCGCAATGCACTCGAAACATGCACGTGGAAATGTTCCTCCTTCTCTCACACGGTATATGCTTTCTGGAATTGTTGGTATGCTTTTGTTTCCGTTCGCTGAAGAACGAGTGATCGTCGTTCGGTGCATCCGACTTGCTTCGAATTATTCGCCGTGCACCAAGTTTTGGCGGAGCAGCAGTTTTTTCTGTGAGGATATCGGTTCTAGGATATGGTGAGCAACTCGTCATGCTCGTTTCCAATGTAAAAAGCGTGAAATTCACCAGCTGCCCACGGGAATCATAGAGTGAAGTGGGGGATCGATTCCTTCGCTCTCCAGGTCGTCTTGCGAGTGGAGCAGCTTTGACGATCAGCTTACGCCGGAACCGACAATTCCGAGCTTCGTCTTCGGGTCTGGCGGTGTTTGGAGTCAGAGCTCTGTTGGCTATCAAGCAGATAAAACGTGGGAAGATAATGAAGTTTTTAGCTGACGGGATATCGGTTCTTGGGGTGGAAATTGATGCGGAGTAGCGACACCGAAATTCGACGCCGAAATACGATGCCGGGACGCGATCTCGCTGAATGCACGGGGCAGCGATTCCCTAGCCCGCGGTCGAACCCCGTCTCTTTACGATGTATGGATGAGCATCAACATTCATGTTCCGCTCCGCGAGGAAGGTTTGCTTCTCGGATCCTGAGTGGGCGGGACTGAGTTTCTCGAGAGACACGGAACTCTCACGGAACAACAACGATTTTCTATTGAGACGCTCCGTTTCTAGGCCGAGAAATACGACACCGGTAGCGGTGAAGGGAATCGTTCCGATACAGAACGAGATGCAGCCACGGTGTTCGATGAGAAAGTGAACCCGCCGAGAGCTCGTTTCCGGCTTCATTCGATCGAGGTTAGTCAATGTGGGTACTCGAGCTATGGAATACTCTTCTCTGTGGTGTCAGAGGAATATCTATCATGTCACGGATCATCGGTTTCATGCGTAGGAGATCGGGCTGTCACGGTATGTGAGAAGCTCTGTCAAACGTCCTCCCGCCCTAGGGGCTTCTTTTGGCAGGTACGTATGCGATCCACGTGAGACCGAGCTCCAAGGTCGAGTCGCGGCAGCAGTTCGTTGTTCACCAGAACGTACAAGGCGCTCTCAGTCTGAACCAGGACTATCTTTTCCCCTTCGCCGAGAGAGTGCGGATCGGACTGTTCCGCACAGTTGGCGGCTCTCAAGAACGGCTCCGAGTAGCTGGTGTCTTGCCGGTCCGATTTCTGTCACACGAGGTGAGCATACCCCCGGCAAGTCTCTTATCATTTCCTCCGCTCGCTCCCGTATCATTCCCGTTTCCGTTCCCTGTTCCATTCACCGTGTTCTACGCAGATCCATCTGAGACCAGAGCAGAATACAAGGGCCAGGCATTCCGTGAAATTCGACGACGGAAAAGGCACTTTGATCTCGGTCACGATGGAATGGTGGCCGCTCAACGAAGGTCAGCACGTTGTCATCGAAGCCAGACTCGCCTACTCAGAAGGAAAAGTCCGAGTCAAGTACGAGCCACCGGGCTACACCCCAAACATTCGTCAGTGAGGGAGAGTCGTGCATCCGGCTGAAACTTTGTGATCTGGCCCTGGAGAAGTTGTGGACGAGTCCGGATCCGGGTGATTTTGAGCTCTTCCACGGGAAGGTGAGACACTCGATGGCGCTTGGATACTGGTGCTGGACACCGGTTTACGAAAAACTTAGAATCAGTACCCAATGATCAGGAGCTCCGCTGATCTGATGCGGTCAAGGACGAAAGTCGGTGGAGTTTACAGGAAACGCGTGCGAGTCTGCGCCGGTGGTGGGATGTGATGTCAGAGAGGAAATAAACGTACGAAGATTGCCCCCGACTCATCATAGGTGGAGTCAGTTTGCTAGATTCGCTAGATACAGGCTCCGAATATGCTGTAAGGAAGCGACCGCTCCCTCTCCGAATTGAGTGCGGGAGAACACCTCGCGGAATCCTGCGCTTGACAGTTGCGCGTCTTTGGTTTCTTAGAAAGACTGTATCTATCAACGGATCGCGATTATCTCACCACGTCGGAGAATTGCATCATCAGAGATAGAATATGACGATATCCAAAGGGATCATGACCGTGACAGACTCCGGAGTGAGAATATTCACCGAACCGAACTTCGTTCTCGCGACGTATGAGTCGACGACTTCCGGCAGCGGAAAAAACACAATTGGGACCGTGACAGGAATAGCGCGGGCGATCCTGGTAGAACGAAATCTCGAGACAAAACATACATCTGTACTTAGATCGGGTCATTTTCGGAAATCTCCCGGCACTCTAAGTGACATCAGAAACCGTAAACCAGAATCTGAATGCAGATTTTGAGCTTGGCCCACTTCATGGTTACGCATTTGATGCTGTTTGTATCAAACACCTTTCGTTCTCTCACGCTCCCGAACCGAGCTTGTACGGTTACACACCTCTAACGTTCGAGAGTCCGATCTGTACGAAAGTCCGAGTAGGACACCGCGTAAAGGAACATCCTCTCGGAAGGGAGCATCTCGACATTCGGATTCGCGATTCAGGCTCCGAGACCGCAATCCTGCGTCGAACAAACAACGCGAAACGAAGAACAGGGGGGCTTGGGCTTCGCTCAAGCTCTGTGAGCTTTTTTCTTTGACACCCGTCACCGAAACTATGCACCGCTCGACAGCTCCCTCGCGCGGCTGCCAAGACAGTCATCTCGCCCTCGGCATGCCTGGACCAAGAAACTCACCGTGTTTCTTGAGAAAAGCGGCCAGAGTGTGCACTGCACTGCAGTCTGCCATTTTCGTCCCCAGCTGATTGAGTCCGCGAACGTCCGGGAGATGAAGGCTTGACGCGACGGATAGCCACCCCGAAACGGAGCCACTGTCATAGGTTCTGCTCTCTATCCGGATCACAATGAGGAATCACTTCGTCTATGTAGTGATCGAATCAGAGGAATGATTTTCCTGTTCTCTCTCGACCGCCGTCATCTCATCAGCTGATGACACTCACTCCCTTTCTCACCCTCCCGCCGCGAACACTCTTTGAAAACATAACAAGTACGCGCTAGCCTCATCACCGGCAGAGATCAATATCATCACGCGCGGCGGGCGTTCCGGGTTGTGGGAGAAATGCCCGCGCGTTGCGCTCCCGTTCTCGCTCGTCGGATGGATCCGATGAGCGTCAGCGATCTGAGGAGGGGTTCCTAGTTCCAAACCCCGAACCTGGCATGGGGGGAGGGGAAGGGGGCCTTAGACCCCGTGGATGATCTCAGATGCGTCTACATCAATTGAGATCGAATAATGCATATGTATTGTGATGATGCATATTTTTTGGTTGAATCATTTGACAACCATATATGGCTGCCTTATACATATATGAGCCTCTCGAGAGGAGCGATCTGAGTCGTCCTCCGATATGCTTGACTTTCCACCGAATGTGTTCATCAAACTAAATCTCTCCTAGCATGAAAAATTGCGTTGACCGTCGTACGTAATCTTTGTAATGTCTTCCGATTATCCGATTAACGATCGGGATCCGCGAGAGGGTGGATGACTTCAATTGAACGTTCTTAACGCCGAAAAGATTCCAGCGGGAAAAGCACTAGAGCACGCTTGCTCTCAAGGATTTTTCCTGCACACTCTTCCTCTGACGAAACGTTGGTGATAATGTCTGCTGTCGACGACTTCAGAAGAGACGAGCACCCAGTCGAGTTCTGATGTGAGCCATGCGTGGCTTCCATTAATGAATATGTAAGAGGCGAGAGAAACATGAGGCGAATGGGAGAGGCATATGCTGCCTCTCTGGAGGAAAGAACTCGGCATATCATGTGTACAAGAGAAGAAGTGAATCTCGACTTAGACGCAGTTTGGAGCGAAACACCATCAAGTGATGATGGATGATTAATGCTTTTCACCATCATCAGAAATGAGGCAACGGTTCCAGGAGCAGGCTGAGACCCGTTCCGCAGAAACCAAGAACGTGACATATCATGATGGGAGGAGTACGGGTTTGCCTACAGGCACGCCACAAATATTTCCCCGCAAAGTGTTAAAAATAATTGTCTCCGAGCATTTCCGACTTCAATACTTAATTTATTACACCTCGGAAAGAACAGATCCCCCATTTTCCGTTGGGAGAGAGGTTCACGGGAGATCACAATCCGTCCGCGTATACGCAAGAGAAACGAGAGCAGCAGAAGTGACTTGCTGTCGATTCGGATGAGCCAAAACATAAATAAGGGTCTACGGATCCGTCCCCGGTGACGGATCCTCAATTCTTTAACTCGTGAGTCTCCCCTGCTCCTACTCCGAAACTCGGTGACTCCATTTGACGCCGTGCTTCCCTACTGTGCTTCGGGATGAATGCTGCCTCTCTCCATAATGTATTTACAGTTCGAACACAACCTTGACTTTGAAACTTTGAGGTTCCGACCCTCGAAATCGAGTCCAACCTGGTAAGCGCCGACAAAAGCGTCGGAAAATATCCGGAGGACGAACAAGCTACCAGTCGACCGCAGATCGAGCTTCTCTTTTAATATACAAGACTGGTGCGCAAGCTCGAGCGGACCTCGAATCAATAAAGGGCATCTCGACTTGGCAATAAATGCTTATCGTGGAATAGAACAGCAACCAAACTCACTTATTCGTGAGTTCACCGTAGTAAACTGTCGATGTCTTAGGCTTCCCAGCCAATAGATTGATTTCCAGCTCGACGGCAGCTCTAGATTCGGCTGCGGCGGCCGAGTCCACCAGTTGATCTATACAGATGTTCCGAGGGAGTAGGACCGCCATGTTCCTCGTGAACTTCGCACAGTGCTTGAGAACGTCGTTGTACTTTGGCTCCATAGAATTGAGGTCGTAAACCCCGTCCAGATAGCTTGGTCCTCCCCATGGGGGACTACACACAATAGCGTCGATTGCACCCATAAGCTGAGGTTTGAGATCGAACACATCGCTCACAGCGAAAGAAACTTTGTCCCGAACTCCGTACAAGTCCGCCATTCTCTGTGCACTTCGAACTTCGTCTTCGCTGATATCGGACGCGAAGGCATGGGAAACTTCATCCATGAACGCCGCCTGGACTATGTTTCCACCGGCACCGCAGAACGGATCCATGATTCGAATTTTTCGTCCGAGTTTGCGACTCAGGACGGCGAGGCGACGACCTATGTGTTTAGAAATTTCTTCGGGGCAGATTGAAAACCACGCCACTTCACTGAAAAAGAAGAACAGGTCACTTCCATTGAGCCTAGAGGAACACAGGAATAAGAGTGAATTCGACTCCTGACACCGGATTTCTTGAGACTTCGAAATGGCGCCTCGGAGAATGCTTCCGTCTCACCTTAAATTAAGATTCACGTTGAATCGGGACACGAGTCGGTATCGTTGGGCGAAATACTTGCTGGGGAACTTCGTTGACGAGTTGTCTGACATTCTGATCGTAGCGCTCGATCGTTGGATCAATGATCTCATTTCTTTGAACAATGAGCCTTCACAGAGTTCACAGGGGAAATTCCTCATCTTGAGCTGCGATTGTGTCCTTCGGGAAACAAGGTTCTCTTGAGCTTTCCGAATCGTTCGGCGAGTTCATATCGACGGCAGAGACAAGAAACCAATCCTTCCCTAGTCAAGACACCGGAGGGATTCGCGCTGCGAACTCACTTGTTGTCCATGATGAAAACTCCCAGCGCGCGAAGTAGACTCATCTTTGTTATGTTGGGCTGCTCCAACTGCGGGAAACGCCGATTCGAAACCGGAGCTTCCGATGGAATCGACGGAGTTTTCTCGAGAGCCAGCCTAATATCAGGTAACCTGAAGTCTTTCAAAATCTTCTCCTCTTCCTCCTTGAGCATCTGCGCCCACGGATGGCAAATCTCCGGTTCGAATTCCAACAGGGGCGCCGAAGCAACTTTGAGCTCGGTTTTCGGGGAGAATCTCCGAGACGACTGCGAAAAGCCTTCACAGTCTGACGAATAGGAACGACTGATCACCACTTGAGTTTGTGCGCTCTCCGCCCGAATTACGACCCGCTGCACGACCGGACTTTGGAATCCGCATAGAAAATAAGAATAGCCAGCAGCGAAACATCCCCTGTAATACAAGCCGGCTCGGACTCTGAGACTATGCAACGAGGAAGCGCCAGACGGGGATAAGAGCGAACCCGATGGGATCGTTCGGGTGATCGTTCTCACATTCAATGATCGAAAGACCGAAATACCGAATCACTCACTGATGTCCCTTGTGACGCGGTTCGTAGAGCAATAGGTGAGCGGTACACTTTCCAGCCTTGAGATCAATTTCGTAGTGTCCAGGCTTACATGAGCTCAGTAGAAAAGTCGTTGGGTGACCTGTTCTGTCAACCCGACCGCTGAGGTAGCCTTTGATACGCAACGCGTTCAGCACGAGCAGAGGATTGACCAAGTCAGGCACAGTGACGTGCAGGATATATCTGCCCTGTCCAGCCGGGTATCCGATAAGTGCACTGCACGCTAGACTCTCAACTTGGCCGGGTCCTCCCATTTCCCGTATCTGGGAAGAAGCGGAACGATTCAAGTCACTTGGAGCTACCTCGTCGAAGATACGGGACGCTCGAGGATTTCCAGGTCTTTCATTCAAACGGTGCTCAATAGGAATGGATATTCATATTCATGTCGAGCATGGAGTCTTACTTCGAACTTCTCATTCGATTTCGGTACAGAGTCAAGGAACGAATCTCGAGCGTCCAACCAGGTACCTGTGCTCGAGTAAGAGGTTTTCCCGTTCCTCTCGTTGGGTTCCTCATTCGATTCGATCGATTTGGGAGAATTTTTGTCCGTCCAAGTTTGTTTATCCTTGCGCGAGCTTCTTCCGAGTCTCTGAAGTGAGCTGAAATTATCAATCAAAGTCAGTCTTTAGGTAGTTTCGGGATATTCATCAGAGCAACTCCCATCTGCTTATCCTAAATACAGAAGGTTTCCATCGAAAGAGTGTAAGAGTCGGGCTGATTATTCTCCGGGCTGACTATTCTAGGTTTCCTCATCATGATCTTGCGGGTTTGGATGGATACATGGGCGATAAGATAATATATCCTGAAGGAATACACTCCGAGAGTTCAAATCGAACAGAAAGGGAGCCACGACTCAAGAGCGGTGGAGAGTCCTCCGCAGACAGATCCCTCGCTCTCTTGTCTGACGAGAGATACTCGGAGTCTGGAGCAAGGGAAGTTCGAAAACGCAGATTTATCAAGCATCGCGGTCCCTCCAAGCGCTCGATCGCGCGGAACATATGTATACCGTCATCTCTCGGGCGATCGAACCGACTGAGTTGCCGCGTACGCTTAGGTCCAGGGTGATCCCGCTCTAGGAAGTGATCTACGACGGGAATGATCCTGCCTCCCTCCCGCGCGGTATATCAGACGAATGATATTCTCCATTTGCACATCTTCCGATCCGCGTCAGAATCGATAATCGAGATCCTGGGGCGTTATATTGCGCAGATTACGATATGAAGAACCAGGCCCGATTTCCGAGACCGGGTCCGAAGGAGGAAAGAATCCAGAATTTCATTTACCCTTGATATCTCCTAGGCTCCCACGGGACGGGGAGCATCATTTTCGAATTCACATCCTCTTTGGCGTAGAAATCGGGGGAAACATGACGCGTTGGATAGTACGGGTTCTCTCGCATGGCTGGTCTGATTCCCTGGTTGTTCGCTCCAGCAGTGTTTTCGTCGTATGATGCGCTTCGCGGGAGATCTGTAAGTACCAGTTTATGATATTTCAGATTCAGATAGAGAAGGGCCCTTCTGGCTGAACCTTGAAGGATAAGGATGCTGCTCCAGGGTTTAGCCAGATTGTACGGAAGGCGTGGTTTGCGCTCACCGCTGTGCCTGTATGCGCGGCTTCGATCGGCGAGGCGCGCGGAAAGATGTGAGGTGATCTCTTGCGGGAGTGCGTCGCTTTTCGATAAGGAGGAGGTGGTAGGTGCGAAAATTCGTTCTTCGGGCCGAACAGCGACACATAGACCGGCTAGAAAGAACTTCTTGAATGACTCTTCCTTCTTTTTCAATGACTTATCTGGAATCGCTCACTCCTCTGTGAGCTTTCACTCATTGTAGTCGCAAGAAACCGTTCATCTTCATTTGAAATTCGTGAAGAGTTGCGGGCTTCTGAGGATAGGGTCATGAACGAGAGCGAAATTTTCTTCCTTGCATCAAAATCGATTTCGACCACTTTTCCAAGCGTCTCTCCCTCCAGGGTTCGCGCGATAGCGTCATCTCGTCGCTTAGCTACAAACTCCGAAACAATAACTTTTTGGGACCGCGGCGAGGCACGCCCGTCGCTCCACTGAAGATGGAAAAGCGCTTCTCTCAATGCAGCGGGTCAGGGTTCACGGAGCATCATAGCTCGTCGGAGAATCACTCTTATGAGACCGGGGAAAAACCGTTCCGATGCTGTCCCCCTCCACGGAAACGAGAGGGAGTGACGGATAAAATTAGGCATCTGAACGACTTTACACACTTTAGCTGAACACATTCTTCTGTACCTCTCGTCATGGTTCTCCGACTTCGGTGCGCGCTGGTATCTCTGTCAGCTGAAACGTCCAGAGTGCTGCTCCAGAGCCGAGTGGGTTTTCGGTTTCACAAATATACGGAGCAACGGTTCAGCGAGCAACGTAATAAATAAATGGAGCGCATTTCCTCGAGGACCGGCACTTTTCGGGTTCTCAAGAACCGGAGCGTGAATCGCCCCTCAAGACTTAGCTCTTTGTCGTATATTTCGAAGTGTGCGTGTGCGCGTGAAAATTTGTGCGCAGATCCGTCAGCATCACGATGGAGGAATCCGAGGAAAGGGAACGCGTTGACTACGAGAGAGCACTGCTGTCAAAAACCCGCAACCAAACGATGAATTGACAAACAGCTCGATCGCGGAGAATCTCAGGAGCAAAAACCCATCACGAACTCGAGGTCTCCGATGAAAGAGATAAAGGCGCCAATCTCGGAAAAAAGAAGCGACGAAGTTCGACACGTGTAGGGAAATGGTCTTCGAGTTTCGAGTGTTTTTTCCACGCGATGCGCCAATTGCAATCTCTGCAACCCTTTCCAGATCTCTTACCTAGCTTGCTTTTTCCTCCTGGTGATGATGCATCCACTCCGTAAGTCGCCGCCTTTAAGTTGACGGGCTGAGTAAACGACCGTTGCTGCGTCACAAACGAGAGAGAGAGCAGGCTAACGTCAACATCGCATTCGACCTTCGAGCGGCGCGCGGGCTCTCTGCTGCGTTCTGAGTTGGAAGTCCGTTCTTTTTTCCCACCGGAAAGACGCGCTGAGGGCAGCTGATTCGGGAAGTGCACCCCGTCAGAACTGGAAGGCGATCTCAGATGCTGGCAGCGGTTGGGACTGACCTGCAAGGGATCCAAATAGTCGAATCTCTTAGGGTTCCTTCAATTTCACAATAAGGATTTCGGAGACGAAGTCGGAATTCGGATTGCCCGCATGCCTTCTCGAAGCGCTGCAAGGGTAGCGTGTCCCTTGGCTGCTCGGTTTCTCTGACATGAACTCGAGGAATCCCAGAGATCAGGATACTCCCAAAGCATTCTCTTGACTCGGACGGATTCCGCGAGTCGCTGAGATTCTTTCCTCTTCGACTCAAGTTAGAGCCGCCTTCTTGCTGCGAATTTGCGATGGGTTGGGGTGCTTCTACGAGGGACACGGCTGAACTTCTCGGAGACCTCTGTCATTCCGGTAGGCGAGCGGCATATGGGCTGCCGGAAGGCCTGGGGACAGCCTTCCGATACTCGTTCTGCGCCGGAGACATGAGGAGTAGCATCTCCAGAGAATGACAACTCATCTTCAACATCGGTGACCCTTCCCCGGAGCTGATTTAGATCAGAGACTCCATGCATACTCAAAGTCTTTGACTAATTCATGGACGAGGCCGCTCATTGGTGCTAATGCATTATGTTTACGGATTCCAGCACCGTATTTGATCCCGAATTGATAGGCCTGAGTCTGGATTCCTTTCCAAAGAAGATCCGGAGGCCGAATATCTATACGGAGAAAGATCTTCATCCGTCTCGAAGAAGAGAGCCCTCACAGAAAGAGCTCTACGAAATTATTGCGAGAAAACGAACCGGAATCAGAATGACTTCTGATCCTACCGTGGACTATCCACGGAAGAATTCTTCGGTGTTTGTCTACGGGGTGTCGACCGTCGACCCACAGCGGAGAGATCGTCGTCACTCGAGTGTGCTACGCACGTACAGGAGCGGATCAGACGATGTTTGCGTAAAACGAGAGCGGAGAAGAAGACAGGAAGTATTGCGAGTCCGGCCAATCCCTCCGACGCGGTATGTGCGGCGCATCCTCCTTTATATGGTCGGCGAGGGAGGAAGGGGTAGATGGATTGCTCAGATCGAAGAATTTCGATCAGTTTAGAGAACTACAGACTTCCCCAAATATTTTCACGAATTTATTCGAATCCGTCGTAGACCATACACGAGTGGATTTCGCTTCAGATCTCCCAGTGCTCCATGAAGCGGGATGGACATGGATCAGGAACGTGGGTTCGGCTACAAAGCGGGTCTGAATGTTCCGGACTGCCCCCGGAGACCAATCACCCTGGCGACGATTCACAATGAGTCAGAGAGCCGAGTATGTCGGACAGTGACCATTCCCAGCATTGGTTCTTGGAAGACTCGGCACGGGGTCGCCGGCAGATAGATGATTTTTCAAACCAGCTGATAATGCCGAAGTTCCGAATTTTTGGAGTCATGTTATTCTGACCGGGAACTCCCAGAGATTGAGGGAAGCATCGGGGCCGGAGCTTGCGGTAAGCAATGGGCGAGGTTTCCATTTCCGTTTTATTCGAATACAGAGATTTCGGTCAAGGCTTGGGGCCTGATATTCGCATGGGAGTTTATGAATACAGAAATTGACGCTCGAAACCGAGTTTCCTAATGTTTTCTCGACTGATCGGGGTCCACAAAAATCTCGCTATTGACCAGGTAGCTCCGATGAATGGAGACGAAAATCACGGAAAATGTTGAGAGAGCAGGGATTTTTTGATCCGATGCGTTATTTACGGAATCAAGTCGGAGCGAATCATTCCCATTTTTTCAAGCATCTGCTCTCGGAACTTTATTGAGTACCTCGTCCATTGATGATTCCCCTGTGCTCAGATGAATCGGGAGTCCACTCATCTCTGAAACAAAGGAAAACCAGGAGGTGGAGATCGAGACGAAAGACAATGAATGAGAGCTTCCCCGGTCGGCGGCTGAAGCTCGGCGCCAAGTACTCACATTGTTCCTAGAATCGGATCTTCGTCTTGAGCGTCTTCCGTCCCCAGAATCATCTCTTCTGTTACCGGATGAGCCTCCGTTTGTGCCGCCGTTCCCATTATTCGTTGGATAATAAACGACTGCATAATAAGGGCCTCCATAATATACACCTCCGCCGCATGGCTTCGCAGTTGATTGGAGGAGAAAACCACCCGCTAGGATCAGCGCGACGGTTATCAGACTGTGAATTTAGGAGAACTTTACGCAATCAGAAAATAAAGTCCCACCGTCATCTCAGTTATCCAGAGTCATACTGGGGTCCCGGAAGATTCTCTCCGGACCCGACGAAAATCGCTAACCTCAAGGATTTCATGCTCCTTCGTGGACCGACGCGTTGGAGCAAAGGCTTTAAAGTCCGTTCATAAAGCGGAACGCTGAGATCCTGGGAGGAGTTTTCCCGAATGGGAGTCCCCGATGCCTCGAATACGGAAGGGTCGAGTGAAAACGGGCGGTAATCGATCTCTGAGACGATGCTTCTGGCGCCGCCGACCAAAGTCGTGGATCGAGAAGTTGTAGTCAACGTCGAAACGAGTACTTCAGCTGCAATTTAAACGAAAGTCGAGTCCAAATATCACGCGATGTTACTTCTCGACGCAGTCTTTCACAATCAGACAAGGTCAAAGGATCGGAGCCGAGATGGACTCGAAGCCGAGCGTATAGATTTCCAGAAGAGGATGATTATATTGCAGTGGACCACGGATGTACACTACGATGTTCAGAATGGAATAAAGCATTGATCAAGGTGAGCCTACGTTTTATTCAATACTCCTCCGGTCTATGGCGCGCTCCGATGACGTTCGCGAAGCCACGGAAAACGCCGCATGCCTGGCTTCATTAAATTTCTCGGATTATCGACGCCAGTTATCGATTCCCAGCGGATACAGCGGCTTTATTTATCATGATTATAATAATTATATTTATATTTATCATCTACATATGAACATATCATCTCGGGCCCCAGATGCGGTGCAGTGTTTCCTCATCAGATAAGGCACGGAACTCTCATGTAAGAGGAAGGGAAGAATCGCGGGGCACGACTTGGTGCCTGGGTGGACTGGATGCCCCCGGAGATTCTCGAGCATCGCCCAAGGTCTGGGTCATCGAAAGCGAATCTTCGAGGAGTACTGCTAGACGCTAGCATCATTTTCGAGGGTCAGGCATCGACCGCAGGTCCCGCTGCAGACCTTCCTGTATTTATCTGCCGTACTTGCCATATTTCCCTCCGCCTTTGCCATACCCTCCGTAGCCTCTCCTCCCACTTTTGCCACATGGTTTCGCGGTCGAGAACGCCAGGAATCCCACTGAAAGTAGTAGCGCAGCGAAGAGGATGCTGCAATGTTGCGTAAAAATTGAATACATATTGGTGAGGAATCTGTACATTTTAGAATGGCATACCCTATTTAACAATAGTCCATTGGATGGGGGACCCATCCACGGGACATGTTCACGACCTCAGCATCCTCATGATTCTCTTCGGAGTGTCCGTCGCCCGGCACCTACGCTCGTGGATTTATAGTGGAAGTTGTAGTCGAGCTCTCCCTCTCCTCACGAGGGTATTCCCACACCGAAACATGCGATGCCTCTGCGAGCACGGATGCCGGCTCCATCGGGCTGGAATTCCGCCCCCTAACGTCAGCATCACCGACTACCCACTCAATCAATGTCCCGAGTTCGAGGAAAGGTTTCCGAAACAGGGAGCAGACACTAGGGCCGAGACGAGTCGCGGAAGGAACACGCGATTCAATCTCGGGGAGTTCCCAGATGATGTTATTCTGAGTCGGGTCATGCAGATGGACAGAAGTACTTTCTTTCCGCTTGTCTTTGCATAATCGGGATGAGGATTGCTGTATCTCTACGTGAGAGCCAGATCCCGGTCCGCTTGCAAAATTGATTCGGAGCTCCCGAGTTTAGGCGAGTCTCCAAAACGATCCGGAGATTTGCGTTCATCCTGGCGTCAAGGTGTCTCATCGAGCTGCTCCTCAAGTTCGGGAAACTTCTAAGGCTGACAAGTCGAGACTTCCGAAGCAATCCGCAGGGAATCTGGTGACGCAGGCCATGATTGGCGCATGAACCGTCAAGTATTGCGAAAAACTCGTGCGCTCGAGCTACGCCGCTCGCTCTGCTGTTCGAGACGCTTGCTCCGATCCGAAATAGGGGGAAAAAAGCAGATCTCTATTTATATTTCCCGGAGAGACGAGCTCAGCTGCCGTGATGGGTCCGACGCCGGAAGGATTCGTCCACGTATCAAATCAATCGCTTCGGAACATCTCTGTGGATCTCGTACCAACGGAGTTGGTCATCATGGAATCAAGCTTCGCGGAGTGGGGAGAGCAGCTCATTGAATTAGATGGGGACGTCGCATCGACGCTACCCTCTTCGAGAGCGCATTCCGATCGTCGCGTCGGCAGAAAACAGTGTCACGCATCACTGATCGATCGGCGATCCCGCCGTTCCTGCGGAATTCTCCCTCGATCCTCCTGTCTGCAGCGGACCTCACCTCATAGGAAATCTGTGGGAGGGTATCGGAGTTTCTTTAGAACGGGGACGTTCCCTCGACCGACATTGAGCGTGACGAGGCAAGTATATGACGCGTCCCGACGCTTGTAAGCGGGTAACAGATCGTTGCATTCCGAGAATTACTCGAACCGCTTTTCGTCCCTTGGAAAAATTTGCGTGTGATCAGGGCCCTTACGCTGATCGTCACACGCGAAGAAGCCGATCTCATCGGACATGCGACGTCATTCGAAAAGGAAGACTGTCGGGATTTCCGTACCTGCCGTTAACCGAATGCTTCGTCCAGAGCTTGACCGATTCCGGAACTCTTCAGTTTGAATTCTCGGTGCTTGACCGTGGATTTTACCTCCATTCTGGAAGTGCAGAGAGGGCACGTCCCGGTCGGCACGTGACGCCATCAGAAAATTCGCTGCACCCAGCTGTAGTCTACCCCGGTTCACACTAAGCTAGAGTTTCCTCGAATCGGCGAAGTGTTGACCGTTTGGAAACATGGTATTCGCTTCTTGGCTGCCAGTGCTGCTTGTCTTGACCTGTCTGCTGAGTGTCGCCCCGGGTGGGCCCGCTCCCAGCGCGAGCACCGAAGATATTCGGAGGGGTGAGTATCGAGAATCACAAAGGATGCGGAGCCCCATGTTGTGATTGAACCCCCCGGAGCCCGAGTATCAATTTTTTTTCTACACAGTAGGAAGGATGGGACATCTACTGGCATCTCAGATAGTGGCTTTCAGCTCTCTGATGCTCGAAGCAAACATCACAGCATTGTGTTCTGCTCTCGTGGTCTTCGGCTCACCAAGATATTGTGATTGTTCGCAATGCCTAACAGCAGAGGATAGCTTCAGGCAGAAGTACTGCGTGTGAGTTCATCTCCGCGGAATGCGATTCCAGCTCATGTCCTTTCAATCGAACGCATCCCGATGCCGTCCCGGCCCATCTGAGAAAATTCCTCTTATCTTGCAGATTCGGTGACCTGGTCCGCAGCAGTGAGCGAGTTCGGGGAATCCACAAGGAGGTCATGAGGCTAACCGGGGGTCAGTGTTCCGTTTAGCGTTCAAAATGCGTCATCTGATGACTTGGTGTCTGATGACTCTCTGACTTCGAATTATTCTATCTTCAGTGGACCACCTCTCGAGATTCTTAGCCGATGATTTCTACAGAGCGTACTGCGACTTCTCGAGATGCCCATCCGTACCTCAGGAATGCTGCTCGAAAAACGAGGCAGCTGTCGAATTTGGATCCGACGGTTGTCCGCGCTGTCTACCGGTAGATCATCAGTATAGCTCGTCGTGTAAAACCACCTGAGCTCATCGGTCTCCTTCTTGGTGTTTTTGCGTTTAAAGGTTTGATGACTCCGATGCTGTGTAACCCATCCTGATCTCCAAATGTTCCACGGAGTGCAAAGTGCACCGTGGGTTCTGTCGCTTGACGCCTGACGTGAATTCTATGCCCCAGAAATCAGGCCCCATTATTATCTAACTGTTGGCGGGGAATCAGCGACTTGCCTTTGCCCAAGCGAATATTATGTAGTCTAGTCCGCAAAGTATGTGATCATTATAATAATAAAAAGAGCGCCAAGTCACGAAGATGAGCGACGCCCGACCGATCAGTTCGTGGTGTTCACCGCCCGTCAAACCTGACGAAACTCTATGAGACCGATTCCAGCGTGGGGCGACTTGGCCTCCGGGAAGGCAGCTCTCCCGCGCGACTACTTTCCTAGAAATGGAATCAAACGATAATCCGAGGGCGGGCCCGATCGGAGGGAAAAGAGGGGTAGCGGGAGTTTTTCCCGGGCCCCAGAGTTTCTGGAGGGCTCCCTACTTGAGAATATCTTCGAACTTTTCCCGGTACCTTTGAATTTTCCCCCTCGGCTCCGCTCGTGGGGTGCCTCATATTTTACTCACTCTCGGTGAATTCGGTTTCATCCCTGTAGTCTCCCTCCGCTGAACAGCAGAATTTTCTGTGAAGAGGGAATGCTCGCTCTAGTACTGGGTTTCCCCAGCGAAGTCTAGGTCACTAGTCATGACAAGCGAATCGTATCAATGAGGGAAAACCCGTTCGAAGTCTCTGCGCTTGCGCTGAACGCGAGTCTCGATGCACCGATTGCTCGCTTGATCCGTAAGTTTAGGAGCTTGTTGTTTCCCGCATGTAGCACCAAGCATCATCGAAGTACAAGCAATCACTGTCTTTGGTGACTGGACTGCTCGCACCCACGTCACTCCTCGATGACGTCGCCATGATTCGTGACTCCCTAAAAACCGGCGGCGTTTTCCGCATCGGGGAATCGAGGATGACTCGACAAAAACGATTCCAAGGCACAACTCGGATCATCCCTCATGAGAGCCGAGGAACTTCGGGGCATCGAGACATCGAGCGGAAGCGCTGTCTGATGTTAACAAGAAAAAGAAGGAAAGGGGCCAATGGGAAGGTAAGCGGGATCAATCAGTCAAGGAATCGCGGTTCTCTCTTGTCGTGGATCTCCAGCGGCGCGACATCTGATGCGACTCCCGCGGCTGCTGCTCCTGTTTTCATTTTTCTCAGCTCCTGGGACCCTTCCGCAGACCGCGAGCGATAGAACCACAGAGAGATTTCAACTTTTGAGAAGTTTTGGAAATCTTCTATTTTCTCGCATGTCAGCGTGCTCTCCGACGGAGTAGCAGACTGCAGTTTTCGCATGGAACAGCCAATGCCGTGAACGCGCGCTTCTGGGACGGTATCTATTCACCTCTAGAGAGCGGGGGCTTAGGCGCTCTTAAAGGAGCGAGCGGCTGGATGACTGGGCTGAATTCCCAAATCCGTGAGCGCATATAACTCCAACACGAATAGACACCAGAAGCCCCAGCGGTGCCTAAACAATCATTTAGTGTCGTGATGGAGTGCAGCTACTTCGCTCTTGTGTTGACTGTACTTGCTCTCGCGTTCGCCTACTTCCTCAGGAAACGTCGAGAGCATTTTTCACTGTTCGAGAGAGCTGGAATCGAAGGCCCTCCACCCTCCGTGATCTGGGGGAATATTTGGGAAATCTACACAAAATCTCACAAGACTTGCCAAAAAGAATGGCACGAAAAATACGGACCCGTCGTCGGCTACTTTTTCGGCTACCAACCCACTCTGCTGATCTCCGACGGTGAAATTCTCAAGAACGTGCTGTTCAAAGACTTCCACAATTTCGCCGATCGTGGTGCTCTCATGGGACGCGTCGACAGAAATTTCGGTGCCTTGACAGAGCTCCGCGGCCAGCGATGGAAAGAGGTACGATCCACCCTAACGCCTTCATTTACCTCAAGCAAACTGAAACAGCTCTGCCCTGAAGTAATTCACATCGTGGACGATTTCATGGAAAACGTCGACGCAGCACACGTGAACGGAAAAGAATTCGACATGTACGAGCTATATAAGGGACTCACCCTGGACACGATCTGCAGATCCGCGCTTGGTGTGGATTTCGAGATCCAGAAGAATATCGCCGAGTCCAGAATCCTTCACGCTATCAAAGCTTTATTCAACTCGCCGATGAATTATCTTACTGTAGCGCTCGCTTGTTTCCACGACATTCGACGTATCGGAGGGAGCATGGTTTCTCGAATTTTCCTCAGACTCGGCAACAAGGGTAGGGATCCGGTGAACGAACTGTTGGTGCGGTGCGAAGAAGTCGTCAAGTTGCGACGCAGCAATCCGGAAAACCGCAGAGTCGATCTATTGCAACTGATGATCGATGCTCAGGGGTCTGAATCCAATGCGGACATTTCGGCCCTGATCGCCGGAGATGACGCCGAGCGGCACCAAGCACAGCAAGAAAAAGGGAAGACGCTAGGCCAATGTCCGATTTCAAAATCGAAAGGTCTGACGGACAAGGAAATCACCGCAAACGCTTTTTTGGTTCTCGCCGCTGGATATGAAACCACGTCGTCTTCCTTGGCGTTCATAACACGGGTCCTACTTCGCTTCCCCGAAGTGCAAGAACGTCTCCGGGAAGAGCTTCTTGAGGCCACGAATGGGGGTCAAGTTTTCGAGTTCGAAAAACTGCAGAAATGTCGATTCATGGAGTCCTTCATCCAAGAAGTTCTCCGAATGTATCCCCCGATTCACTCGTTCACTTCGAGGTACGCGAATGAGCAGAAAATATACGGAGACCTGACCGTCCCTCAAGGAGTCGATGTTCTGGCCTCAACTATAGCCTTACATTACAACGAAGAAGTGTTTCCGAATCCCTGGGAGTTCCAACCCACGAGGTTTCTGCCCGAGAACAAATCCGTGGCCATGTCTTGGGCTTGGCAACCCTTCGGAGCGGGACCCAGAAACTGCATCGGCATGCGATTTGCGCAGATGGAGATCAAGATAACGCTGGCGAAATTGTTGACCAAGTATCGCCTCTCTTGTGACAGTGAACCGAAGGGTGACATTCAAATACCTACGATGGACAGACCTGCCCTTCAGCAGATCAGAGACCCGCTGATGGTCAAAACAACCTTCATTTAACTCAGATGCTTAGCTCCGAGCGAAGAGAAGAAATCAAGCAACCAACATCGATAAACTACCCGCTCGAGTAGGACTGAACGACTCATTGACATTCATTGACCATTACACAGCGGAAGCGTTTTCTTAATACACAATGAATGCAGCATAAGATCAGGATGACCCTGTATCAAGCAATCCTGATTCGAATGTCTAGTCTAGTGCTCAGAAAGTCCCTCCAATGGGGCCCCTCTCCAGGGCTCTCCCGCGGGAAGCACTGAAATAAATCTCAACGTCTCTATCTGGGAGAGTTGAGACCTGGGATGATATGATTTTGAGGCATATGATTTCGAGGGTGGAGGAGGCAGGGGGACTCCCTCTTCCTCAGGGGCCAGTTGCCACGATATTCTCCGGATCACAATCATCCTAGTTTTAGACGTATCGCGTACACAATTGAAACATTGCAATCGATCGCACTCCGATTTTCTGATCCGCTGCCCCGTCTCCCATCAGGAAGCGAGTTTGATGATCGCTTGCGGAGGCATCAGACGCAAGAAATGAGTGGAGATCTACTACGGCGAGACCAGCAGCGGCAACAGCGAAATGGAGCTGGGAAGATGAAGCTGAACTGAGGAATAAAGAGAGGGATATTGATTCAGGTCCACAGCGGACGGGTTGGGGAGGAAACCGGAGACAAGGAATAAAAGAAAAATGAATACCTTCCCCCATATACTAGTTTTCCGTCATTCCGGGAACACCGGACGCAGGAATGGTCCGACGGTTTCTCGGTCACGAGATTTCGGAAAGAATCGATTCACTTATCTTCCATGCTCGGATGAGATCTACGGTGCCTCGAAATCGGAGGTCCACGTGTCAGAACGCATGTCCACATATCTCCTCGGGAAATTCCCTGAGGTCAGAGGTTCGATTCCCCACCCATTCTCGAATGGTGCTTTCGAATGCTGCTGGTTTTTTTTCGGGCCTCGGAGTCTCGACGGTATGCATTTCTGGCAGATAGGACTTGAGATTCATCTAGCCAAACCATAGAATGGAGGCTCACCCCGGACCGGGAGCCGACAGGAGACATCGGCAAGCAAATCTCCAGTAGATTAGGGAGCTGAAGCTGTGCCGGCTTGGATTCCTCAGCAGCGCCTAGAAAAGCCGGATTTAGATTCGTCAATTTCGGGGAGACTTTCTCCCTCCCTCGCACACTCCGTTCATCAGATGCTCGTCGGATCCGAACCAAGGTGTGCACGATGCTGCGAACATCGAACAACCGAATTCAGGAATTTCTCAGATACGCTGACAGGGACCTCATTGGTGTGATGCGCGGCATTGCACTCGCGCCCTCTATGGAGCGCTCCTCTAGAATCGAATGCAGGCGCTATCTGGACGACTGATTAAGGAACTAGAGCCACGTTCGCACGCCAGCTTATTGAAAAAGGTACGCATTGAAGTTGGTGGACCGGGTGAAGCAACCTCAGGTAGTTCCGGTATTTCCTCAGGCACCGTGGATCGGAGCACCTTCGGGAACGCCACTCAATGGGCCTCAACCCCAGTCCGTGGTATATTGGATCTTTCCCGGTCTCTTGATGAGGGTAATTGTGGATGACGGAAATTGGATCGCTGTACTCTGCTCGGGAATCGACAATTGAGAGTAAAGCCCGATTGCGAACGAGTGTGGGACGCGGCAGTGCCCGGCCTCCTACTTCTGAATTAGGAAGAGTGAGCGCTGCGCCAAGAGCGCGGACGGTGTTCGAGGTGGCGCGGGAGTTCCCTCGAGCAGACGACCCCCGATGAGGTCTTTCCTTTCGCCCCTCGGCCCTGAACGGTGAAGAGCAAACAGCCCCGGAGTCGACTGGTTTCAATTCGAAGAGAGCTCTCAGTGAGGGGACGAAAAATTTCCTCCCTCGATTGTGTCCGTGAAGGCGAGTCGTCATGCTGACGCTGACTTCTCTGGTGGGCAATCTTCTGATTTTCACGGCAGTCTCTGCGTTGAGTCGCTCAGGTAAGCTCCACGCGCACTCACACCTACGCTAAGAGCTTAAGACATAACAACCCTTGTGCCCGATCCTGGTTTCGTATCTAGGGTTAAACTCCCATTGACTCAGAAAACCCGGGAGAGTGGGGAACCCGTTCCGGCCCTGAAAAGCATGGAAGCGAAAATATACTTCGGAATGAGGAGCGGGAGCCGTGCGAGTTCCCACTCGGGCTCGTCATGCCATGAGAGGGTACAGGAGAGACTTCTCAAAGGGTACAAGAGCGTGTTCTCAAGCGCTTCTCACGCTGATCATTTCCAGGTGGCCGCGCGGGGGATAAGCTCCCGTCCAAGGAGAACGATGGCAGATCATCAGACTTGAAAGCGATCGTTGCCTCGTTTCAAGTTCAATACGATAAAATCATTGAGCCCAAAGTGAGTATATTTTCGTAAGCTCTTGTCTCCGCCGTATCAAACGGGCGATTTGTCATAGCGACCTTCGATTTTCAATTTTTGCCCAATCAATTCCTCCAGCAGTCCGTGGATAATGGAGCTCAGTACTTGAATGAGAGCATTCTGCACACGAATCGCGAGTGTATTTTGTGGTGTTGGGAAACCACCAATTGTAATGTTGCGGTGTTCGGCTCCATGGTAAGTGCAGAGGTTCGGTACGATCAGATATTAACAGAGACTAATTAATTGTGAGCAACGCCATAAACATCAACGATTGATTTTCAGAGCATTGATCACGGTAGAAAATGTTATTTGTTCGATTGCGGACCTCGGACGAGGTTTTGTCGATATGTTGAGAACGAGAATTATGTCGCGTCAAGTCTACGCGACGACAAAGAGAAGAGCCGTTCGCCACCGAGGCACGACCACAAATATAGAGGTCTGTCGTCACTATATTCCGAGGGGGTTCTGAATTATTGTTGTATATTTCGTCCTCCGTGGGATAGTTGGGAGGACTTTTTTTTCCGTTGGGAGGATTGAATGGAGTTCCTGTGCTAAATTTAATCGATTCGATCCTCGCAGTGACGGTTTGCTCCGACCGCCATTTCCGATGTGCCAACGATTCTGCGTGTATTGCGATTCAGAAACACTGTGATGGAGTTCCTGACTGCCGTGACAATAGTGATGAACAGGGTTGCTTGTTGAAGTGAGTTCCAGGACAATTCGAATTGCTTTACGCGAGGTCGCGAATTCCAGCGGATTCCGCTAAGAATTCCTACTAAAATGAATGCGCTTGCAGTCGACCACCACACGATGTGAGCGATTTGATTGCGGATCCCGACCAAGACGACGATGAAATGTAAGTTTCCGTCCGCTCCATTTTTACCCTCTCGTAGAATCTGAGTCTCGAGTAGCATATGTTTAGCCATTAGTACCAGAACATCAGCGGAAATGACCAGTTCTCGCCTGATAACTGATGATGCGAAAATGCGACTTGCAGCGGAGTCGCTCGGGGTCTGCCAGGAAATCGATACTTTTCGGCTTCAGTGAAGGTAATCAACAGTTCCTGTGCGCGGGACGTTCAGCATATCATGAGTGGCTTCCTCCCACAGTATAACCCCCTTGATGATTCAGTGTGATTTATTTCAAATGAAAAATTTCAGCAGGCGCGAAAACAGCCCAAGGCTGCCAAGCTGTCCGCGTCGACGCCCACGCCGACCGCTCTCCGAGACGACTCGATCAAGCGACATGACTCCTCGAGGATGAGCATCACACTGAGCCAGGTCGAAGAAACGAAGACCGTTTCCCCGACTGATGTTCAGTCGGGTGCCATCCTGGCTATGGCGCTGGGTCTCTGCGTCACAGCCCTTCTCCTCGTGCTCGTTGGATGCAAGCTACGCCTCGTCAAAAGGTGCGATATTGGGGCCCGACCTAAAGAACATCTATCAACAAGGACACGAATGACTCGATTGTTTCTTCCAGGCGTCTCGTGGATTGGAGGAGCGACAACCGAAAGGGATTGAGCCTCCTAGCTGACGATGACGACGACTACGAAGAAGAAGAGGAGGAAGCTAATCAAGGAATAATCTAAGCACTTCTATCCTTAGTGAGACTAGCGCGCTAGGGAGATACATCCATCAATCCAGAAATCCTAGCTTATGCGTAGAACGCCTGGAGAGATACTCGAGCACTTCTGAACGCTTCCGGAAGCTCACCCTAGGTTAATCACAGAGGAGAGGAAAGCCTGCGAGATTCGTCTGTGAGTGCGCTACGAATCGAGCAGACCTATTCTACAACACTTCACCTGAGGAGGTACGGAGCCGCGATAGTTCCTTGAGTCCGAGGACTTCGTGGTAGGAAGGCAGCACTGTGGACAGGATCTCTACCCCTCTCGCCCTTGATTTCGAGCCTCGACAACAGACTCCACAGCTCATGTCAAAAGACGGTCTCGTTGAGATGACGGCGCTAGGCGTATGATCACGAAATCGACTTCTCAAAGTCCTAGAAAAATTGGGGACTCCCCGGAAATTCTACCACATATCTTTGTTCGACGCTAACGAGTCTCCCGGATCGTCTAGCGATAGGAGATTGCCTTCTTGCTCCTTCTCATGGGTTTCGAGCGATAATCTGCTCATTCCTCTAAATTCGATGCTTGACTTGGATCTTTCCGCCGAGTTTTCGAAGTTTTATCGATCCTTCCGCATTCTCCATTGAGATTCAAGACTCGATGTTCAAAGTTTCTCCGATAGTGACTCCGTTTACATGAAGCGGGAGTAAGGCGAACGAGCTTCTACCCAAGCTATAAGCTCTCATTCAAAGTTCGAACCACGGGGAGAAGAGTAGGGCTGATGCGAGATGCAAGCAGACAAGCTGCACTAGAGGTGAGACGGGAGCAAAGGTTCTGGTCGGGGCTTGTTTTTGGGGAGGGATCAGTGAAAGTGTAATCAGTCAGAGTCCGCTCCTCCCGTCCGCCTGCAACCTACAACTAGGGCGTCTCGTGTGAATGGAATCCTCGTTGACTGACGCGGTTGTCGGGGGTCATCCGCGAGATGCACTCGGAATTCTCCGCCGATGACCGGAAGTACTGAGGAAAAAGTAATCAAGGAGCAGAGGATAAAGTAGCTCATCACCACCACAATTTCGGATCTCGGCATGCCGCATAGCCGAACATCGCCGAGGATTCCGAGCAAGAGGTTTCTCAACAATGAACGTTATTTATTGTTAGTTCATTTATTCATGAGGGCAGCATATCGATTCCATATTAGCCAAGTTATTTTGCTGATATGGCCATCATTTAATGTTGAAAGATGAACACTCTAAGACGTTTCCCTCTAGGATTCTATAGCAGCGTTGTCTGGATAATAATAACCGTGGTTCAAGCGGTATATCGGTACGAAGAATGACCCAGCAGGTTCCGATGGGTCAGCCCCGTTCTCGGGAGCACGTGTTTCATCTGCTCGAAGAGCAAGACCCATCCGGATCACAGTCGACACAACCCATCGACCTTCTTCAAATGGCTCTGCTCCGGATTCGCTCCCTCCCATTCTTGAAGCTCCTCCGAATGCGGAAGCTGAGCTCCAACCCGACTCGATTCTCCGCCACGCTCTGACCCGACCATAGAGTTTTAGAATGCAAGTCCCTCAGTTCTTAGAGAGCGTTTGAAGCGCACATGTGCAAACCTTCCCTTTCGCGTGGATTGAACCATCTACGTGGGGAAGATTCAATAATTGCGGCGAGAACCTGAAGCCTGGATGCAAGGACTCGTCTTCGGGAAGAGCTCTGGAGATCGAGGCTGAAGGGAAGTTCAGGAATGGAGAGAACCATGCCTTGAAGGAGGGGGAAGGGGTCAAATTAGGAAGAGAATGAAGGACTAGTCTGGCTCTCGTGAAGCTTTGTTGGGAAATGATACCTTGTTATTCTGTCAAGAAATTTGTTTCCTTAATTTTTTTGTATATGTACGCTGAGTTCGGTTGGATTGAGTGTGTAAAAACGGATGTGAATAAACACGGTGGAAAAACACACGACGATACATCGATGCATAATACTCGAAGCTAGGAATCGGAAGCACGGAGATGCAGTCGGTCGATCCGCTTTCTTGCGAACGCGGTGCGAAGAGAGAATTATAACGATGAGGATTCCTCTTTGCGCTGCATGATAATTCTCTAACGATGTGGGGAGGGCGAGGGGGTCTTCTTGTCGCGACCTAGAGCCCCAGAATAGGCGAGCCGGGTCTAAGAAGCCCACCCCTCCTGCACGGAGTCGAAGTTATTCGAGGCTCAACTTGCCGAGACTTTCTCGAAGAGTGAAAAAGCGCCGACTCATGCGGCCACGCTGGACCTTAGCAGAGGATCAAAAAAAGTAATGGTGGAAGTGTTTTAATAGATCTGCCCGGAAGCTTGTCTTTGTATAATGCGCGCCTCCACAAGAGGTTTCGCCAGACATTCGTATTCTGCTCAAGAGGGCTGGTTTGGCCGGCGATTCCTCGAGTCGCCGGATGGTTTCCTAATCATCGCTCCCTGCCGTCTCCCCGCCTGCGATCGGTATTCTGATGAATCGCGACCGAGAAAGAGCATCTCGCAAATGACCGATTGACGGAAAGCCGACTAAGCAGAGACGTCTACAGAACTGAGAAGACGCTGATCTTTATTCCCCTCCTGAGAGCCCTGGCCGTGAACTAACAATACGATTTACGGTCCAGTTTGTCGTGCATCGTCGTCGGCGTTGGGTTTTAGCTCCTCTCGACCATCATCATTCTTACCAAAACCATCTTCCTGAACTGAAGATAAGCAAGGCACTTCTGTTGGAGGGCTCCAAAATGCCATCCGAATGGCACACTCCCCCTTGTCGATGTCTCAAGGGTCCCCAGTGAAACTCTAACTGTTACAACCTCTAGCTATTTTGCATCAACGAGAACGAGCAATGAAATCGCTCAATAGGAAGAACTCTGCATCGTATAATTTCACTGAGTATCGCATCTCGGATTCGTGTCACTTGGTCGAGAGCGATTAGCACTGTACTTGACTAGGGGGAGGGGTGGACAAGATGATGAGGGGAGATTTCGACTACGAATCTAAGATAGTGCCTCTACATCGCAACCAACACTAAACTCTAAAGCGCGCCGTGTGCAAACTATAGAACTCTACTTTCTACAAAATATTTCTCCTCTAGAAACGTTTTCATGGTCGAACTTTCCTTGCGAGCGAGCAGTTTCTCCTCTCCCGACAGAATTGGAGCGGAGTTCGCCGGAGCTTAGTTTTTTCTGTCTCGGGGCTTCTCGCACCGAGCTGACATTACAGATAGGTATGAGAACTGAATGGGCGCTCTTCCCAAGATAAGGGTAAGTAGTTCGTGACCCGTCACGAGTTGATCTTCCTACTCTCGAATCATCACAAGTTCACTGGAGTTCTCCTCGGAAACCCGGAAGCAAAAATACTGAACACGATTTACACCCAACGATTCGGTGAGTCAAGGGAAATTGTGCGACCTGTTTGTAAGCGGGTTCGAGGTTTTGTCCTGCCGTTTTCCTACAGTCGTCGTTCGTCGAGCAGCAACGACCATATTCACACAATTACAGTGCTCTTTATCCTCTATCCAACCCCGTGACCTCCCTCCATACGGAGCTGCAGCGATATTTTACATGGCGGATTTCTGACCGAATCAAGTCAATGCTGTTGCTTGAATTTATCTAATCGTCGAGTCGAATCCCTTCGATAAATCACCTCTGGTCGTAAGTTACTTGGCATGTCGCTATAAGCTTCGTTAGAATCTTGCGAACTGCGAGAAAAAAAATGTAGGAAATAATCTTGTCCGAGCGGAGACTTGTAATTTGGCATGCATCCTGCTTCGATTCGGCCGAAATGAACAATGATGATTTCAGCAATTTCTCCCGATTTTGCCCTCCATTGCATATGTTCTCCTGATATTCCATGCTGAATCCCTCGGCTGTTTTTCAAGGCGTCTGATTCTGTATGACATGGCGGATAATTTTGTGATAATGATGATCAGCCCACACTCGCTCGTAGTTGCACGGAGTAAATTCTGAAAGCCGGAATAATCGATGAGTAAATTTTCGAACGACAACGGATGCTGCATTTCAATCCTGTCAATCTCCCAATAATTAGCGATTCAATCCTGTCAATCTCCTAATGATTAGCGATTCTTCAAGAGCCCAGATGATGGATTCATAGATTAATGTCGGGGACCTACCTGGCACCTTAACGGCGTTGTGGGGACGGTAATAGACGATGTCATTCGACTTGGAAGTGCTCTTCTTCTCAGTCTCAGGACTGGTCTGGAGAGAATTCCACGTCATGGCGAAGAATGACACTACTTCGGCGTCGGGCTGGACTCGACAGACCTCCTGAGGAAATCCAGAATCGACGATGAGAAGGTCGCGCGAAAACAAAACCCAAGGACATGAATCGCCGAAAAGCCGACGATATTCGGATTCGAAAACGCAAGTCTCGAGTGGAGCATACCTGATCTGGAGTTTTATCCGGCCGAGGCTTCCGCCGATGTGAATTCGCGCCATTTTTCGGAGGGAGGAAGACGGGTCTCGGACCGATGCTGTAAAACAGGAAAGCACAAAATGAGTGCACTGCAATAATGATGCAGATTTTCACTATGGTTTACACCTGTTTTTCTAGGAGCGATTCCCGATCTCGGACTGTATCCTATTGCTCCGGCCTGGCCGACGCCGAATCTGTGTCATGAGTCATGAGAGCAGCGGTGTCGACGTCATGTGAGTGATGCGATAAGAGCGCATACTAATACAGTACGTATCCTGCCTCGTCTTCTGTGATCGGATTGTCCAGCGTCGCTCAACCTCCTCGTCTCCCACGTATTAATGAGACATTGTCTCGATGTCTCAGAGACCAATCTCAGTCCAGGAAAAGGATTCACGAATGTTTTTTTTCCTCACTTGCTTCCATTCGCTCAGGCACGCAGGCCCAGCGAAAGACTCTCCGAGGTCCCAAGCGCGTGCCTAGCGTGTCCGGAATTCGCTTCTCGCTCACATTTATGATGTTCTTTTCGGAAGTGATAGGGCCGGGGCGCTGAACTGCGCCAAAATGGATCGCGCCCGACCGATACAGAAAACCTCATCAACGAAATCTCGAGCAATATTTTGCCTCGTCACTCGTAGGTGAACGAGTTTCCGATTCTCGACCCTCTGGGCGCACCACGCAACTGAGAATACTCACAAGGTTCGAAGAAATGACCTTGAGCGTCTATCTCAGAGAAACAACAGCTCTGCACGTGCATTGCGGTGATATTTCGCAGATTCTCACTGAATTCTGTATAGGTAGATCGAGACGCGAGGCAGATGTGACTCTTGGCACCCCAGCACCGCCGGGCCAGAAGGGGGACAGAAATAAATAAATTCTAGCATAGGCCCTTCCGCGATAGGGCTTTCCCAGGGGCAGCGCGGAGAAACTTCAAGGCTCTACCCAACGACGGAGCCCGAGAAAAATGAACGAGATATCTGGTTGTGCTCCCGGAATGACGTGCTTATCATGGTCGTGTCTCCCGTGATTCTTAAGATGGTGTCGATTACGATAAATCCATAAGTGAACAACTGAGGAGGCTTTCGTCACGAGGGACACCCCGACATGCGTCTTGAGACGAGTTGACAAAAGATACTCACGGTAATCCGTCGTGGCAGGGGCTTTTATTCACCGAATCAGCACCGGTTTTCTCATTTGGTGGAGAAATGCTCTTCGCAGAAACATCGAACGAGGTGTTCTTGTTCCCGTTGATTCCTGCAACACGAGGTTTCGACGAACGTTAAATAGAGTGAGGCAAATGGAGCTTCGGAATCGTGTGTCCCTAGACTCGATTGTCACGCTCCGCTCCAGACTCGAAGTACACGCTCGCGATCCTGCAAGTCATCGCGATGTCGATAAGAGATGGCCGGTGGTCATCCCTAGGGGCCTGGTCCATCGAAACAATGTTCCGTGATCGCCAATCATTACAGATCACCATCCTCGATCATCCTAGAACGTTTCTGCTTTCGTTCTCAGAATCCTTGGCACGGTCCACGGTACTCAGACTAATTCCGAACTGTGACATGGGGAAATTCCGCAGAAAATCCAAGCCGAGAATCAGTGGTGAGAGAGGCGCACATGCGAGCTCTGCAACCTCGCGCACTAGGTAGCGAGGAGCGAGTGATGTGATTTCTGACGCAGTACTCCCGTGGCAACCGGCAACCTCTTCGACACAATTCGCCGCTAGAGCGTGGCAATTCACGTTCAAGGCACGTCACGTAGAGAGCAAATTATTTCTGGAGTACTCATGCCCTTGATGTACCCTCAGTGAAAGCCATCGAACTCACCCATGAGACGGGTTTTCAAGAGACCTCCGTTCGGACCCTTGATTGTGTACATCGCTTCAGTATGAGTTCCTGGACCCAGCAAGGAATACCAAAGCAAAGTTCAGCTTAAAAGGAACATAAGATTCAACCGGCTCCGGACTCTCCGCACTCTCATAGGTCGCTTCTCCACGCAGACACGCCGCTTTATCAATGAACAACAGTTCGGAATGCAGCGGCCTCTGGCGACTGTAAAGGGAAGCGCTTTCGAATTTTCCCGGGCAGCGCTCCGGCTTCCTGAGGGTGGGGGCGCCAATGATCGAATAAGATGCGCGGAGAGAAACCAGGCGCGGAGACCGCACTCTGGGAAAACGCATGAACGTAAGCTTCAGTACAGGGAACCCCGATCCCGTTCGCAGCTATTCTGGAGTAGATGGGAATATTTTTACATTTTACATTTTCAGCCCTGTGGACTGTTGCCGTTGAGCACTCCAGATTCCAAGGAGGAAAGACCCATCCATGCCCATCGTACCATGGCGTTCCCGGCGGAGTATATCTCATAACACTCCCCACTCGTGACTCTCAATTATGTCAGGTTTGAGGAGCGAGCTCGGAATGGGTAAACTATTAACTCAACCTCGACTCGTCAAGCATAGTAAAATTAATCCAGCAGTTCACGAAAACCCCGATCAGTCGGTTAGTCAATACGGCTCACGACGATACCGGGATGACGCCGCAAGTGCTCCCGTGAGATATCGAATCGCGTGTGAGGGGGCCACGGTCATGCTCCCGATCTCGGATTTCCGCGGCACTTTGAGACAACCGGGATGTCTTACAGCTCACAGGGAACCTCCAGAGGGAAATAGCTCTCTTAGACTCGAGATGACGAAGGTCGCGATCGGGAGGACAAGAGCACCGTACTTGAAGTTCTTCGAGACTCCGCCAGGGAAAGATGCCTACGAGTCCACCCGGAGCAGCATCTCCGGGCCCTTAGCTAGGCAGGTTGGAAGAACGGGGCGAAAGACAGGTCTTGAAAACTCGTTCGGATGAGGAATAGCCGTCAGTCAGTTATGGAATCCACGAAATGTCCAAGCTGAGGAAAAGGGGAGATAGGAAAAGCCAGCAAGTGGATATTCTACCTTTCGAAGAATGAGATGAGTGAGCAAGATGATCATCCGAGCCCTAGGGAGGCGAAAGGTGCGACTCGACTGTGAAAACCGACCGCAAGCTATCGCAACTCCGAGGCGGTCAGGGCGACACGGGGCATACTGGGTTGGAGATAGAAAGCATATCCATACCGGTACTCGGAATGCCCCTCGAGCAGGTGACTGCCTGCCTATTCTCATCGACTTGAGACTTCCGTCAATTGATAAGCTGCCCTGCGCTCAGCCTGCCGATTGAAACGGCTGCTCGAGATGTTCGCGAAAAGCTAAGTCATGGAAAATTCATTCGAAAAAGAGCTGAATCAACTCCCTTGGCGTCTTCAGATTTTACTCTAAATGTCCCACCTCCATAATGGAACAGGCTTCCGATAATCCTTCCTGATCAAGGATGAAGTTCGATTGCTTGAGCTGCCTGGGAATGAGAAGTTAGCCCGGGGAAGCAGAGGGAATCGCCCGCTGAAAGTTCCAGCATAGATCATCGACAGCATCATTTTCCGATCATTCCGATCGTCGAGAAATTCCGTGAACACAGTGTCGCGGCCCGCGATCTATCTGCGTCTTTGAAACTATGAAAGTATAAAAGTTTGCCCCATTGTCCCCGTGAGCTTCCCTGCAGGCGTACGCTGAGGAAGTGACAGTCAGCCAGGGAGGAATCAAATGTCAGAGTGAAGCTCCGTCAGATGTTCACGCAGGTCTGCAGTGAGGAAGGTCTGCAGAGAAGACTGACACTCGGCGCTCGAATGCGGGACGCGGATTCTTCGACGCCTTCCGGTGACCTCCGCCTAATGTCAGGAATGTGTATGAAACTGACATGAGTGCTCGCTTCGCTTGATGCGAAGTTCCGAAAGGAGAGCGGCGTGCTTGTTATTGTTGTTTGCCGCTCTTAGCTTCTGCTATCACAGCAGGAGGATCGCTCAACGTTTAGAGCACCAGCACGGACGTCGAACCCAAGGGAAAAGCCGTCACAAACAGACCGACGACAAATCTCTTTCGCTATTAAGCCGGACCGTGTGTGAAGCACATACGTTCATTTCCGGAGTGCGACGTGCAGTTGAAGTGCGGGACGAATCATGGCCACGGCTGCTGCGACGCGGATTAAAACTTGACCACCTGCTCATATCAATAGAATTTTCGGCCTGAACGGGGAAAAACAAACACGAAAAAAGACAAATCGTTTTGTGATCTTTGCTCGGAAATGCAACAAAGATCCTCGATATGCACCTCATACGAGCTCTGCTCTTCGCATCGATCGCCGTAGGTCTCCGCGCAGAAGAGGTGAGATATATGAAGCAGAATGGCTGGAACAGGAACGATTTCTCGTGCGAAAAGTTCTATTGAAACCAAGAGGGAATGAATGGGCTCGGGAAATCCTCCGGAAAATTCAGCGCCGTCGATGTCGTTATGATCCTCGAGCAGTATCGGTACAATGTAGGAGTGGGAGGTGTCGCTCTGCGATCATCTTCGTCCAAGTTTTTCGTTCAAGGAAGGCGGTTTTCTCGTTGCGTCGATTTTCGGGCTAATTCTGACCTCCTACCGAGGGAACGCGCTGTTTTCTTCGGAGGGCGTGCGACCTCTTCGAACACATCACACCCTATGCATCAAGAGCCGGAGAGATTTTAGGATTCAACGTAGACTTCGATTCCATACCGAAGAGAAGGGAATTCATCGATCGATACGATTGTTCGAGATCGCTCCCCCACACGTACCATGGAGTCGCTCAATGCAACACGTAACGAAATTTCTTCTGTATCCGTTCTCGGAATGGAGCTCTAAGAAAAGGCAGTCTCGGGGAGCTTCCTGATCCAATGCGTGTCATGGTATTCGTATCGATAGGAGCATCGATCATTTTGCAGTTTTTCCGGCTTCTATTCCCCTCGAATTTCGCTCTCCTCTGTAGGAAGAGCGACTCAAATCAGAATCATGTCCATATCATATGATCGATGCTCCCCCGGCGCGACGTAGTAGGAATCTGTCGCATTCGTTTCGGCTCCCTGGTCTGATTTGAGTGATCGGAGCGTTGCCGCTGTAATTCAGCGTTTCCGTCCACGCTGGTGGTTGTTCGCTTCAGCGGCAAGTCGGTCCGCTCAGAGATAATCTGAAAGTACAGCACTCATTGAATTGTTGCAGCCGCCGGTATCGGCGATTCCTCCGGACGAAAGAGACCGCCTGACCGAAGAATCGAAGCCGCTCGTTCTGACTCGGAGAGCGATTGCGGTCTCTTAGAGGCGCGCGAGTGAGGGCTCGCTTACAGAGGAGCAAGTCAAAGTTTTGAGATCGTTATTGAATAGAATAGGATATGTGTTCGATGACAGATGCTCTCGACATTCGATCACGTTCGACAACGCTGTAGTCGAAGCTATAAACGCATCGATCCGGGAGTAAGAAGCACGAGGCGTTCGATCGATTCACGGGATAGCTGGGAACTTCTTCGAGCTATGATTCTCGCTAGATCTGATCCGGCTCCGAATCATCTTCCTCCGCTGTCTCACACCATTCTCCTTCGTAGGAGATGTCGATCCGATCCGATCGATATACATCTGACACGCTCATTTTCCCGGGGCAAGCGACGCTGTCGACTAAAGAATTCTGTTCACCAAGGTCGCTGTGGCGATACGATGGGATGCGATATCTCCTCGCGGAAAAATCGAGAAAAATAACGCATCGATAACCTTTCTAGGACGCGGCAAATAATGCGAGCAAATCACGCTCCCAGCTGAGCGAAGTCCGTCCTGTTCTGCTCGTATCAACGCTGAACGGACAACTTTCTGCGGTCGACAAGAAATCTGGACTCGTCCTCTGGTCGAGATATGAGGACCCCGTTCTCAAGGTTCGTCATCGATGAAATCCGCCGTCATGGCGCTCAAACATTTCCCCCGCGAAACGACCTTGCCCTCGACGATCGATACGACGTGGTACGATTCGTCCTTCCAGGTGCCCCCGGGTGCGTCTACGGCTTTTCTGCCTGACCCCAAGGACGGATCCCTTTACATATTAGTTTCCGAAGAAAAATCATCAGATGGAGAGGCTCGGAGACCGTCCATCAAAAAACTGCCGTTTACCATTCCCCAGTTGGTCACAGCGTCGCCCTGTCGATCTTCTGACGGCATGTTGTACACGGGCCAGAAACTTGATGTTTGGTTTGCGATAGATCTAGCTACGGGCGAGAAGAGAGAGACGATTTCTCTCTACGGCTCGGACAATGTGTGCCCTCAAAGTAAATCCGGAGTGGCCTACATTGGCCGCAGTGAATACCATTTAGCTATGTTCGAAGCTGCTACTGGTGAGAAACGCTGGAACGCTACTTATTACGACTACGCTTCCACGGCGGCTAACATGCCTGAAATCGCCGTGGGCGAATACGATCTGATACATTTCGCCTCCTCGGAAGTCGGTCGGATCCTATCGTTCGAAAAGGCTTCGGGCGACTTTTTGTGGGAAGCCGAGTTTACTTCTCCCGTTGTCGCGCTTTATCTGATGGACAACGCCGACTCGACCCTGAAGAGTTTGCCGTTCACGTCATTGGCTCAACGGACCATCGAAGATATCGGCTCGCGACTCCAGAAACAGACCTGGAAGAAGTACCTAGCCTCGCAGCTCGACCAGAGCTCACTTTTTCCGGCTCTCTACGTGGGCCTGGACGCCACGAGACAAGAGCTTTACGCGCTGCCGGCGCTCGTGGATAAAAATATACCTCTCATCCCGGTGAGTGCGCCTTGCGGGTGAGAAGACGACGCTCTCGGGGCCGGTCCTTGCTATTTCCCCGGGGTGGCTTTTCCGTTGCGCGAGTTCGTGTGCTCGGAATTCTCCCCGCTCGCTGATAATGTGTTCCGAAAACTGCAGGCGGAAGCGTCCAGTCGAAACATACCGCTGCTGGAGGGTCCGAAGGCAAAGACCGGTCGTCGCCGAGAGATCTTCGAGGGTTACTACGAAGTGCCAGAGGCACTCGTGAGTTCCCTGGCACCGCGGAAGCAGATTTCCGGCGATTCGTCTCTGCCGACGGGATTTCATCGAGCTGCGAATGGTAAGCAGCGTCGACGTAGACGCTGGAATCGGACAAGACGTCAGCGTGTGATAAATCAGGTGCCTCGCTTCTGCGGCCGTAATTCTACAAGAAGATACCTTTCCTCAAGGCGTTATCATCGAAGTTTCGCACCAAGACACAGGATCCCAAACCGAGGACTCGCGGGAGGAGATATCCGTCACGGAAGAACTCTTCAAAGAGCAAATCGCGAATCAGCTTTTCTGGATCAAAGTGTCTCTGGTAGCGCTCATTACAGTAATCATGACCACTCTTCTGTGTATCCATCGACAGGTTCGCGCTTTCTGAATTTTCGATTTGAACTTCATGAGGGGAGGGGGAACTCATTGTCGGAGCCCCGAGTGAACGAAACCAATCCTACTTCTCTGACATCTTGTTTCCCTCTGCAGTCCAGCATGGTCTCGAAAACTCCGAATCTCCGGGTGTCTGGAGAAACCGGTCTCCCGTTGAGCGAGCTGGAACTCTCTGAAAACGGAATTTGCAGCGTGGGAAAAATAACCTACGACTCTAACGAAAAACTTGGTGCTGGTGGGAATGGAACTGTCGTTTATCGGGGGCGTTTCGACGGGCGTCCCGTCGCCGTCAAGAGAATTCTGCCGGTTTGTTACTCGCTCGCGCTCCGGGAAGTCGAACTCCTTCGAGAAACCGACGAGCATCCAAACGTTGTTCGGTAAGTCATCGTGAGCGCGGGGAAACTTCAGAAATTTTCTAGCCCCCGTCGATCCTGCTCTGCACAGAATCGACTCTCCAATGTGGAGTAATTTCAAATTACAGATATTTCTGCATGGAACAAGACCCGCATTTCTACTATATCGCCTTGGAGCTGTGCGCTGCCACGCTTACCGAGTTCGTGGAAAACACGGATTTCGACAGACGAAACTTGAGTCCCCTGGAAGCGATCTATCAGGCTGCAGCGGGTCTCGAGCATCTTCACAGTCTCAACGTCGCCCACCGAGACGTGAAGCCTCAGAACGTTTTGATCTCGCAAGTGGGCCGCAACGGTCTGTTGAAAGTCATGATATCGGACTTTGGTTTGTGCAAAAAACTCTCCCACGGAGACCGAAGCTTCAGCAAAAAGTCTGGAGTTCTGGGCACCGAAGGCTGGATCGCTCCTGAGGTACGTTGGGTCTTTCCGGATCGAATCATGGGAGGGGGGGAAGCATCAACTCAACATGGTGGAAGGCAGAAGAACGTTATCATGATTAAGTTGTCCAGGCCTAATTCGCCATCGAATCGGTTTGCAGGTTCTGGAAGGCCCCGAGTCGAGTCGAGTGACAAAAGCGATCGACATTTTTTCGCTCGGTTGCGTGTTCTATTACGTTCTGAGCGGGGGCCTGCACCCATTCGGCGACGTCGTCGAACGTCAGGCCAATATCCGCAAAGACCGAATGAACCTGTCAGGGCTGAGAGCTCGAGACATCACGGCCAAAGGCCTCATACACCAGATGCTGCAGGCAGATGGGAGCAAACGGCCATCTGCCGCTCAGATTACGCGTCATCCGACGTTCTGGGACAACACGAAGATTCTGAACTTCTTCCAGGAAGTTTCCGATCGCATCGAAAAAGAAGACCATGCCAGTCCAGTGGTTCGACATCTCGAAAGACACGGCTTCCGGATCATCAATAGCGTGAACTGGATCGACCAGATCACCCAAGAGCTTCAGAAAGATTTGCGAAGATTCCGCAGCTATAAAGGGTCTTCAGTCAGAGATCTGTTGAGAGCCCTCAGGAATAAGGTAGTGATCTGGGTCGGCTCTCTCGGAGGAGCTGCGCATCGATATGGAGGGGCATCTGCCGAGCACCAGTCGCCATCAGTAATCTCATAGACGACTTCATCTGCTTTTTCCAGAAACATCACTATCGGGAACTGCCGGTGGAACTGCAGCAGGAACTCGGGACCATCCCGGATGAATACGTGGCGTACTTCACTTCTCGTTTTCCGTATTTGCTCATCCACACCTACGTCGCCATGCAACACTACCGTCATGACGCCCCTCTCCTCAAAGAGTATTACGCTCCTGATGGCCTTTCGGCACCCGTCGAGCTTTGCCAGCATCCCGATTTGGATTCGATTCCGCCGCCGAGCGATGCGTGGAAGATTTGGCGCACAAACAGGATGCTTAAAAGGGTCGACGAAAAGTCGGGGGCCTCTGCGGCGGATCTCAGTAATGGTCCGAGAGGCGACGCCTCCGCGACGTCGACGATGAAGGCTGTTGCGACGACAAACGGGTTCGCGGCTCTACCCCCCTTAGCCGCAAATCCAATCGGCCATGGCGACGGCGGAACCCAGGTCATGAATCCGCTGCGAGGCTGCAAGGACGCCGAAGACGACAACGCTCAGAACGATGAGAACGCCGGATGGACAACAGTGAATTCCAGTGCTCCCCGTTCGGCGTCCTCCTCGGTCTTGATGTCGGCTGCGGTTTCGGCGCTCCAGACGAAAAAGAGGAAACAGAAGAGAGCGAAGAAAAACGATTGAATTCCCTTGCAACATCTCAGACTCAATCAAAGTAACTTCCTGCTTTCGCCTTGTGTTACACGCGCGCATTGATAACTTTTCTCATCTTTTCCCCCGCAATCCTTGTGAAGCTCTAACGCGCAACATCTCACAAACGATTCCGTTCAAAAACGACGAATCGATCCTGTACCATATGCTCGAAGGCTTGTAAATTCTTGTGACATTCCTACATTTCCATCGCCCGAATTCTGTATTATGCGCTCGACATATCCGACCGGTGTACTTAAAGCCCACCGAGAACCGGACCCGATCTCTCGGAGTCCATCGTCATTATCGAAGAGATGAACAAACAAAGAAACGACGACGGAGGACTCACGGGAATTTCGTGCCGCATGTTCAGCGTTGTTCATAGGTTTCTCCTGCGGAGGATCATCGCATCCGAAGCAAGAATGTGAATTAGCACCATGATTTATCATTTTCCTGAAGTTACGCGTCGGAGAGATCCAGCGCTCCTGATGCTGTGGTCATCTCTGGGTTATATCGTCGAAACTCGGTGAATTTCCCTGAATGGAGATTCTCGGTCTTTTCGGAAGACTTGAAAGGCTTTATTGAATCCAACCGACTCTAGAATCGTTGTCCGGATCGGCAATTGTAGGAAAGTGTGTGATCCATCCGGACGTTACACAGTGAACGCGAATCGACTTCGATCGAGATAACTTGTGTTGAAACATCTCGCGAGAGAGCATATTTTTCGCATGACCAGAGAGACCTGTCTATTTTTGAGTGAACTCACCGCCAAAGGATGCAGCAAAACTTACGCTAAGCACATCATTTATGTTAGAAAATATCAATCCAGGACCTCGAGCTCCTGGATGGATCCAGTGGATTTGTGGAGATTCTTCGATTTTCGGAAAAGCGAGAAGGATCAAAGACCGATAGTCATTTCGTTCCGATCAAACGATGAGCACAAGAAGCCTCTCCTACAGAAACTGCATTTTCGCTCGCTGCCGCTTTTTCCGTTCCGGGCAGATAGCGATTGCGGGCTATCGGAGACACGGCGGTCCCGGGGAGACTCGTACTCGAAGTTTCCCTCCGGAACACAATTTAGGATGTATAATAGTAGAGCGCTCAGCCACACAGACTGACTGACTCAAAGCCCATCGCGGCCGACCGCTGAAAATATCAATCGGAAGAGCGTACGTACAGTCGCCCATGCGCGAAATTCTACAACCACGAGGAGAATTCTGAATGCCGCGAGTGCCGGCTTGAACCCTCAGTCAAGGACCAAGATTTCAAACGGCGTGAGTTATCAATCAAATCGCAATCCCCACAGTTCACGAGGTATGAGAAATAAATCAGATTTGAGAACAATCGCTGCATCATGGGAGGGGTCGATGTGCCTTTCGGCTCGAGGATATGGAGGGTCAGATCGTTGAAGGGCTCACCATGAGCGACGACATGCACTGTAAATTTCACGATAAAGGAGCCGCAATCACCGGTAAACCGAGGAACAATTGAAAGACTCTTTAGAGGGTAAACAGATAATCGCATCATATCACATGCATGTACCTATATAAAGATATGAAGGACGACAAGAAAAGTTTTTGAAGCTATCCTTACGAGGTGTCGAATCATCGAACTCCTCATGGTGGTGAATGCTCGCTTTCATTTTTATTCATTAATCTTCTCCATCAGCCGGATGACTATTCCTAGTTATCATCGCCTGCCGTATCGAATGACTACGCTGAGTTGACAGGACTACACTCCGGTTTCCGTACAAATATACTCATGTGGGCGACACTATATGCATGAGGGCGGATCGCTCTCGCTGAAGCAAGCTCCGACTGAGCCAGTGTATATCATATAACTCTATTACTCATGAACCAGGCCACATGAATCGGCCCACATGAATCGGCACCAAATCACTTGGATCTTCCAATTGGCTCCAGCCTCAGATGCACCTCGGGAATGCACCTGTGTTGGTGCTTCACATGAGAGGGTAGCCGACAAAGTCGGACGCTTGCGAAAGTCTTACGAGTTTTTCCCGAAAGTCACAGTCAGATGCGCTTCCGCCCTTCTACCAGGAGCGGAACTGCTGAGGAACTGCTCCGGCAGCTTTTTCTCGAAGCCTTTGATTATTCCTATCGTTATCTAACCCTTCGTAATCCTTTCTCGTAAACACTTGTGCTCAGACGGCAGAAAAATACGGAGAAATGTTCGGCACGGGCGGCCTTGATTGTGGATAACAGAGGACGGTACTTCAGTCAACTCCGATAGGTAAGGTACTCCAAATAATCACACGGAATACTCTCAGGTGAAAAATTCGGGAAAAATTGCTCAGCCATCGTATAGGATTCAGTCAGAGGTAGTGCAGGCAGAGTCGTACGACAAGCCGACTTGAAAAATGCGTTTGAAAAGCCTTTTCTTCCTTTTTCCCCTGGCGCTGCAGGCTCAACTCTTGCCGTGGCTGGACTTGGTTCTATTGGACGGCTTTTCGATTGCACGTTTTTTCTTTTTTATGTGTCCTCATCGAGGGTTAACAGGGAACAACAGCGCCTCCGATCCCCGTCAGCAAACCGACGAGTGAGAGGATGCGCAGGTTCCGAAATCGCCTCAGTCTCGTTGGATTTTGCAGGAGGATCTGAGCAAAGCCATGGGATGCATCTCGCCGGCGACTGTGACACCTTCCCAGACCTGAAAGAAGAGTTAGCGAGTTCTGTAATCTCTGATCCTTGTCGATCGTTGAGCAGGATCGGGAGTAAAGGAATGTGGAGATTTCAATCCAGAAACGGCAGAAACAATGAGAGGGAGAGCTTGTCGACCAATAATTATCGGAATCAATTTTGTAGAATTGGCTCGTTACCTCGATTTGGCAGTCCTCAATGGTGCTTGGTATGACGTTCTTGACTGGTTTGTTGTTACAACTATCCGTCACGATGTGCACTGGTTTCATTTTGAGACTAATTTCGTATTTGATACCGTTCTCAACTTTGTGATGTTTTTCCATGATGTGAGCCACCTCGATACCTTCACACATCCCCAAAGTCCCCGCTTCGCGTTTCGAACGCTCCAGTTCAGCCACAACGAATTTGAGTAAAGCGTCGGGCTCCGTGGAGTCGACAGGGCGGAGCAGGGACAGCGAATCGAAGTCTGAACTCGGTGGAACGATTGCGGGAACCGCGTTGGTCTGTAGAGCGCAGAACAAGAAAAGGAGGAAGCCCGAGTGTAACATTTTGGCCATCGAGGGAATGGCCCGATCGAGTATGAGACAAGCCGAGTCACTCTAGCGGGGAGATGCTCGGAGGAGCTCAGAATCCCCAGGAGATCTGGAGAGGGAACGATCGGGGGAGGACACTTCGACACGCAGACCGCATCCCAAATCGCGCGGTATCGCAGTCTCGGAGCATGCTATCGGAAAAGCGAGGAACATCCCGGAAGCGAGGGACTCCTTCATCTATACACGCTATCATGATTTTTCCTGTCGTTACGTCGCCGACCCGCATGCTCCTCATGCTAGAAATTCAGCGGAAATCCCGTGATTCAAGGTTTCGAGTCTGCCTCGGGAGTGATTGGGGAGCAGATTCCCGGCAATTCATGGTCTCTGGAATTCCAGTGAGGAACCATCCGAGGGTTCTACAGAGAATGATGTGGAGTTCAAAGGCTGACATCTTCTCAGGGGAGCGAGTTGACGGCGAGTTCCCGATGGATTCGCGCGCCGGCATCTCGGGCAACGATCGCGCGTCACGCTCGCCCTCCGTGAGATGACTCATGCCGAGCGCGCCGAAGATCCTGGCTATCTGCAGAGCGGAGGTGAACTCCGGCGCAGTCCGAATTCCGTTCTCGGTATGAGTGCGCCCGTCTCCCTAATCCGCCCGACGAATCTGCCTGCGCTGATCTTCGCTTCGCCCCGCTCGCAAGTCGCAACGCCCCGAGGAATTATCTCTTCGATCCCCGCGAATGAGGCATTGAGCGGAAAGTCCAAAAAGCTCCGAGAAACGATGCAAATTCGCCGCTGATAAGACGAAGTCCGCCCGTTTGATTCGGGATGGCTCAGTCTCAGATTAGACAACCCCCTGAGAGATATGGCTTGGTGTTCCCCGTGACCTCGGCTCTGAGGGCGTTGGACTTCTCTGATTGATTTGAGTGATAAGATCATGCACGGGACTTCCGCAGTGAAGTCACTGCTTGAAGCTTCTCGGCGGGTAACTTCTTGTGACTTGTGGCTACGTGCGCTGTACATTGGCTGCTTATCGAGACCTCTCTCCCCTTGCTGATGGGGACCCTTTCCTCTGATGTCCTCTACTAAAGGGCCATACAGCTCTGCTGGAAGTACGATTGTTCGCTCTTCGCCGTCTTGTTCAAACGCATCAGTGCAGGCAGCTCTCGCTTGGTTTCGTTTGTCTGCTTCCCGAGAGCAGAGGCCAAAACTTCCTTCCCTTCTCGCATCGCCCTTTGTCAAGTCTTAGTGGCTGCGGTGCAGTGATCGCCGATTCTCTTTCTCAACGTGACACTCTTCCTCTCTTTTCCTCGCCACTACGCTCGGAGTCGACAACCGACCGGGTGAAGGTGCCTCTACCGAGTGCAAACAGTTGCGTGAGAGTTATATAAGCGTTAACAAGGAGCCGTCATCAAAGGCCCACCCGTTACCGTCAAGAATCATGACTACTCCTCTCAGTGACGCCGACAAGCGGAGGCAAATCTCCGTGCGCGGGATAGCTCAGGTGAGTTCCATTGCTGAACCGCGTGCATTTCTTCTGAACTCGGAACCCGACGTATCGACCCACTCCCACCGACCGGATGCATGGCGCCGGTCGCAACTCCATGGGAGTTTGCGATGAGCTACCATAGCTCAATTGGAGCCTAGTGTGAGCGATGAGACTCGATACTGTCGGAGTTTTCCGAAGATTCGTGAGATATTTCTTTTGCGAAGGCGTGATTTCGCAGATATCCCTCTCTCCGTCCACATTCCCGTCGTATCTGTCCGGAAGAATATTTTCTAAAGGTTCTTGTGTTGCGATCGAAAAAGAGAGAATACCAGAGGCCGTCGAACCTTCACGGCATCCTCAGAGCTACAGTTGTGAACAGGACCGCCGCATCAGGATGACTTGATGTTTTGTATGCGCTATACTCACGTACAGCTCGCCGCAGTCCGACAGTTAGAACATAGGGTCATATACTCTGGAAACACATTCTCTCTCGAATTGTCTCTTTTTTCCTTGCCGTGTTGAGGGAGATAATTGCCTTTCGGACCACCTCCGTCTCAGCCGCGTGGTGATTTGCATTCGCGAGACTGCTAACAGATGCATGCGATTCTTCGCGGCTGGAACCGGGTCTTCGGAATTAGCGCCTCAATCATCGATCCCCCTCCGATCTTCTATGATGAGAGATGCTATAAGATAAGCTTCCGGCGTATGCTGCCGCGAAGTACAATCATCGGGAAATACTCATCATTTGCTAGTCGAGTCAGTTCTGATAGGTTGGGAGGGTTCGATCGATTCGATCGACGACCGTCGCAAATACCGGTAGTCGACTCAGCTGAGCGCCCAGCGTCTCCCGAGTCTCTGTTTTCTTGCTCGTAGCTCTTGACATTGGAAGAATCAGCTGACGGGCATGGCCGCGTCGTCTCTGGCAGAGTCCTGCAATCGTCGATCAATAGCGGCACTTTCTCCCAATCTGTAATTCGAGGCTGAGTCCTTTTCGTCGACCGCAAGTGGACAAGGTCGCATTGTTTTCTACTTCCTAAAGAATGGATTTATCGGTGCCGCGTAGATCCCGTGAGAGCACCTGGTCACTACATCTGCAGTACACGGACCATCCTTACATTTCACTCGGCGTCTCTGCAGTGATTCGTGTCACGATAGAGGAAGTTTCCCTTGTTTCCTCCTTGTCTTCCTGGTGGTCTTTGCTTTCCGGCAATGATAATAGCGAGTACTCTGATGACAACTGCAATTCCGCTCGAGACTAGACGCGGTCAACTCAACGAGATGCCCTCTTTATTGCGGCGGGTCAATTGAGTCGACGAATCAAGGTATCCTACATTCATTTCTATCGGAAATTCAGGGAGGTCGGACGAGGTTAGGCGGAGTTAAGAAGGAATCGGCGGGCCAGTCAGAGTCGGAATTTTCCGAAAAAGTGCCCCATTCTCCGAACAAGCCGTCGTGTGTCTGCAATCAGATGATTCAATTCGCGGGTTGGCATCAGGCATGAGCACGCCACAGCCGATTGATGCATTCAATCGTTTACGATTTCCAAAACCCCTCTTCCTGTGTAGCCGGTAAAGATAAGACCACTAGCTCCAAGAATAACGTTCGGCTCTCCGCGGAATCGTACAATCGATGGCGGCTTCTGCCCTGCCGTGGATCGAGGATGACGACAATCACGAATCGAACCACCTTTCGAGAGCATTTCTAAGCTTGAAAACACGAATCTCAACGCCGAGAGACGCAAATGGACCTTGTCGATTAGAACTTTCAATTCATTTCTCCGCATTTCTCGATGCTCGACCTTGACGCTCAAGAAAATACTACCTCATCCGAGATAATCGATTTTGAATGGACAGATCGAATGACTATTGCCTTGGCTAAGGTCTCAAGGAGGATTCCTTAAATAACTTTCTCGATAGAGCTGATAGGTATGAAACTGAGGTAGCGAGGCTCCTTCCCGGGAACGTCGGGGACAGTAAAGGTTAAGGGGAAAATCTCGCGGGAGAACTCGGAATTCTAAAGAATCTTCTGCTCCCAGGTCGAGAACGTCGTGAACGTTAAAAACGCTTTCAATCGCCATCTCCACTACACACTTGTGAAGGATCGCAATGTCTCGACCGGACGCGACTACTATCAGGTGGGTGTTCCCTAATAGAGCAATCCATAGGGACGAGTCAATCTTCGGTTTCGCTCGGACGCCTCACTGGAGGTTCGATTCAGTGTATTTACCCTATTCCCGCATCATCTCCAGGCCTTGGCGCATACCGTCCGTGACCATCTCGTCAGTCGGTGGATCCGTACCCAGCAGTATTACTACGAGAAGGATCCCAAGAGAGTTTACTATCTCTCTCTGGAATACTATATGGGTGAGAAAGAGTTACTTTTCGGGTTTGAAAAATTTCGAACCAATTCATTATCGTTAGCTTCGGGCATTCTCCGAGCTATGCGTTCCGCACGTGGAAATAGTACTAAAGCGATTCAACGCATGCAGGACGCACCCTGTCGAACACCATGATCAACCTTGGGATCCAGAACACGTGCGACGAAGCTCTCTATCAGCTGGGTCTCGACATCGAGGAACTCCAAGAGTTGGAAGAAGACGCCGGTCTCGGGAACGGAGGTCTCGGTCGTCTTGCGGCCTGCTTCCTGGATTCCATGGCCACTCTCGGACTCGCTGCCTACGGTTACGGCATAAGGTAAGCTAAGGATTTATTGACTTATTATCTCCCCATCTTCGCTACCCGATAGAATATCGACAGGACCCGTGCGCTCGTTGGGCGTGGGAGAGCTCCACTCAGCCTTCAGGTTCAATTTTGCCATCACAGGTATGAGTACGGAATCTTCACTCAGGCCATCCGGGGCTCTGAACAAGTCGAGGAACCGGACGATTGGCTGAAATTCGGAAACCCGTGGGAGATTCCGCGTCCGGAATGTGAACTTCCGGTCCATTTCTACGGACGGGTCATCGACGACAACGGCAAAAGGAAATGGGTCGACACTCAAATCGTTCTCGCGATGCCGTACGATAATCCCATCCCGGGATTCAAGAACAATGTTGTGAATACCATGCGTTTATGGTCGGCGAGATCGCCGGTCAACTTCGACCTCCACTGCTTCAATACCGGCGACTATATCCAGGCAGTGTTGGACCGTAACTTGGCTGAGAACATCTCTCGAGTACTGTATCCGAACGATAACTTTTTCGAGGGAAAAGAACTCCGTCTGAAACAGGAGTACTTCATGGTCGCGGCCACACTCCAGGATATTATTCGCCGGTATAAATCCTCGCAGTACGGCAGCACACAGGCCGCTCGCACTAATTTCCACGAGTTGCCAGACAAGGTGAGCCATCGAAAAAGGGAAATCCGAGTGCGGAGCTGCAGCGAGATGTGCCTTCAAGCATCTTAACGAAATTCCAAAATTTCCCCCAGGTGGCAATCCAGCTGAACGATACTCACCCGGCTTTGGCCATCCCAGAACTCATGCGAATCCTCATAGATCAAGAAGGTGGGTAGTGTTAGGATGCGTAGTGCAGTGCCGCGAGTCTCGGGCGAAGTAGATTTTCGAGCGCTACGGCGCCGGCGTACTCGCTCTAATTCTTTTCCGCATCGGGAGCCGCTGCAGCGGGCCCATCTATACCCTAGAGTCGGAATACTCAGGAGAAAAATTCCCGCAGGTCTGACCTTCAAGGAAGCCTTCGATCTCTGCGTTCGCACGTGCGCGTACACCAATCACACCGTCCTGCCGGAGGCTCTCGAGCGCTGGCCCGTTTCCATGCTGGAATCGATCCTGCCGCGCCACCTGGAGCTCATCTACCAAATCAATCAGACATTCATGGATCAGGTCGCCGCCAAATACCCAGGTGACATGGGGAAAATGCGCCGTCTGTCTATCGTTGAAGAGGACGGCGGAAAACGCATTAACATGGCTCATTTGGCCATCGTCGCCTCGCACGCCATCAATGGCGTTGCGCGCATCCACTCGGACATTCTGAAGGCGGACGTTTTCCGCGAGTTCTACGAGCTCTTCCCCGAGCGTTTCCAGAATAAGACGAACGGAATCACCCCTCGACGTTGGCTCGTTCTCTGTAATCCGTCCCTGGCCGATCTGATCGCCGAGAAGATCGGTGAGGACTGGATCGTGCACCTTGACAAGCTCACCGGGCTGAAGAAGTTCGTCGCCGATAAAGCATTCCTTCAGGAGCTTTACAAGGTCAAGCAAGAGAACAAGATGAAGCTCGTCGAATACATCAAGAGCACCACCGGCGTTCAGATCAACGTCAACTCGATCTTCGACATCCAAGTGAAACGTATCCACGAATACAAGCGACAGCTCTTGAACTGTCTCCATATCATCACCTTGTACAACCGGATCAAGGCGAACCCGAACGGCCAGTTCGTTCCCCGTACGATCATGATCGGCGGGAAAGCCGCCCCCGGCTACCACATGGCGAAACAAATTATTAAACTAATTTGCCACGTTGCCAACGTAATCAACAACGACCCCGTTGTCGGCGATAAGCTCAAAGTCATCTTCCTGGAGAACTACCGCGTCACTCTCGCCGAGCGGATCATGCCAGCAGCCGATCTGTCCGAGCAGATCTCCACCGCTGGAACCGAAGCGTCTGGAACAGGTAACATGAAGTTCATGTTGAACGGTGCTCTCACCATCGGAACCCTCGACGGAGCCAATGTCGAAATGCGTGAGGAAATGGGCGATGAGAACATTTTCATCTTCGGAATGACCGTCGATGAGGTGGAAGCTCTGAAGAAAAAAGGATACAACGCCTGGGACTACTACAACAGGATCCCTGATCTGAAGCAATGCATCGATCAGATCCAAGGTGGTCTCTTCTCACCGTCCGACCCCGGCATGTTCGGAGACGTTTGCAACGTGCTCCTCAACCACGACAGGTGAGTCGATTGATCCATGCCTCCGGGGGGTGTTGTGCCGGAAAATCCGCTCAGGGACCGCATTCGCTTCCCTCGAATCCTCTTTTGTCGTTGGTTACCGGTTCTCAAATAATCCACGCTGATTCCAGGTTCTATCTTTTCGCTGACTACGAAGCGTACATGAAGTGCCAAGACCGCGTTGCGGAGACTTATCGAAACCAAGAGAAATGGTTGAAGATGGCATTGCTGAATATCGCCTCGTCCGGGAAATTCTCCTCGGACCGAACAATCGCCGAATACGCTCGGGAAATCTGGGGTGTCGAGCCGTCGTGGGAGAAACTCCCGGCGCCTCACGAGCCGAAACCCGAAGGAGCCAAGTAAACGCAGCGATCTGACCCAATCCAAGAGGAAAAAAGGACTACCTACGCAATTTACGCCTGCTGAAGTGACAAATCGTGAAGATTGCTAGGTAATGCAAAATATCCGTTTGACTGAGTAGTAACTAATGAGTCCGCTTGGCTCAACATCTGGGCTATGTTGAGAACTACTTCTAGATAAGATTGTTCTGTTTCCATTTAAATCCCCTAGGGATGACTTCCATCAGATTAACATAAAAGGCTTCAGATATCGCCTCCACATGAAATCTTAGCGTTGATGACTCTTTCAGTAGTTTGAAGTTGGTTCATCGTTCCGATCGGTGACAATGATTATTTCTCTTCCATGATTATCCCTCCTATACATATGGGCGCAGGTGATGGGTCATGCCGCGGACTCTGTAGACCGCCCACAGGTGCAGAATAGAGTCTCGGCACAGATCCTTCAACCTTTTAAGTGTTAAGAATATTTGAGACTCATCGGTCTCTTGGGCGAAATTAGTTTGTTGTTATGTCTTTCTCATGGTGCCGGTGTCGTTCACCGAGAATGACAGGGGAAACTGAGCACGAGGAGCCGCACAAAAACATTGGAATGAGGAAGGGGACAAGCGGCGGGAAGAACGAAACCAAGACTGCAATCACCTGAATGAATTCCGGCGATTGTTCCACGAACTTTGATTGTTTTGACTCACTGTAAGCTACCGATCACTTCGGAATCGGAGCCGCTGCAGATGTTCCGTTCATCACTCGATGTTACTGCCGTTTCCAGCAATGGACAGCACCCAATCAATAAAATCATATTTGCCAACAGAATTCCTGGATCTTGTCAATATTGAATTCCGGCTAAGAGACATTCCATTTCGGAACCCAGAAGGCTTGGATCAAAGACTTGAAATTCAGCATCGAGGATGAATGTCGCTCCCGTCCCAGGATTCACCCCCTCTCGGGTCTCAGGCGCTGAGTGAGGCGGGCTCCCCAGTCTCTATTGATTCTACAAGCATCAGAAAGGGATTCCTGAGAGTCGTTGTACTCTTTTCTGGCGACCTATGATCTCTTCAGGGAGAACGCCGCCCTCGGATGCTGTTTGGTAAATGGATGCATGAGACGATGGATGTGGGAAACAGACAGAGCCATCTCTCATCGGTTGATCTCCAACCATCCGAAGAATGGTTGGAGATCATCGCATCAGAAACCACGAGGAGATGGTAGAATAAATGCGGTGATCGATCATCGTATCGGGGCAACTTCGCTCCATTCCATGACAGTTCTGCTTTTCATCTTCCAGTTTCTTTATTTGCATATATCCAATTCTCACGATATCACTTGAGGGTCATGGACATTGTCGGAGGATATCTCACGCGCACGATTGAACGAACAATGAACAGGAGCGCCGGGGGAAAAGGAAGTCGGAGAGCTTCCCGCTACCCCGAAGATTCCAAACAAGATCAGATCAGGATTTTCTCTTCTTTTCGTTTCTTGGTAACGACGGTTCCCGGTTTGTGCTGCGCGTCAGGGTGATTCGCAAGGTCCGAAGGACAATTAGAAACTGGACTGGAGATGAGCATTTGCTTGAGATCGTAAAACAGGCCAGAATCGTCTTTGGTGCAAAACGATACGGCTTTCCCGTGTAGACCGGCACGACCAGTACGACCGATACGATGAGTGTAATCTGAGGACAAACCGGAATTAATCATTGCAGGGATGCCTTTACGGTTCCATAGAATCGGATATGGAAACGAGTACGATTTATGGAAAGAGTTCGAGACAGGGAGGTCATCTCACCTTCGATGGATTTAGCCATGTCGTAGTTGATGACCATGGACACCTTCTGGATATCGATACCTCGACCTGCCACGTCGGTGGCGACGAGAATATCTTTTGTTCCGTTCTTGAGTGAAGCCAGGGCGTACTCTCTCTGTTCTTGACCTTTTCCACCGTGCAGAGTGCACGTGTTGAAGCCGAGCTTCTCCAAACCTTTAGCCAATACATCGACGCCTTTTTTCTGATTGACGAAAATGATCACAGGCGGTATGACTCCGGCACTGAGGATTTCGACCAGCTTCCTACGCTTCTCCCCTTCGTTCATTATGTACACAACTTGCTCGACGCGCTCGGTCGGTTTGCCGATAGAACCGATGTATACCACCGCGGGCCGTCGTAGATACGTCCGAGCGAGACGTTCGACGGCAGGCGGCATCGTAGCCGTGAACATGACCGTTTGCCTGCAGGAATCGAATCTCAATGAGGAGAGGAATCGAAGGGGAATCGAGCGGGGATCAAATCGACAGGCAGCCTCTGAACTCAGGGTGCATAGCCTCACCTGAACTTCTGGGACGTGTTGAAGTTTGCCAAGAGGAAGGCTGCGTTCTCAGCGTCTTCCGTATCGGGTTTCTGGTTCGACACCGGCATGTGCTCCAGGACCTTTTGAGGGAAAGAATGAATTGTTATCGAAGGAGGTGGCGAAGGAAGAGCCGCAATCCTGGAAGAAGTCCGCGGCCGAACTTTCTGGCCATAAGCTGGCTAGAGTTGGAGTTTCGACTAACTTTTTGTACGTCTGGTTCGAAACCCATGTCAATCATCCGATCGGCTTCATCGAGCACGATGTACGTACATCTGGAGAGGACCAAATACCGGTTCTCTAGAACGTCGATGAGACGACCGGGAGTCGCGATGACAATCTGCAGATTCGAGGAAGTTCTTTAGAGCCAGAGTCAGCCCAGAGTCCGAAAACAGAAACGCATGCACATTCCGAGCGCTTATCGTTCCGGCGAGACTCGGTCCCGGCTCGAGATCCAGGAGGAGATGCTCTTACCTCGCATCCCATGCGGAGTTTGAAACCCTGGTCTTCACGAGACAGTCCTCCGATGACCGCCACCGTTCGTATTCCCATTTTCTTCGCGAACTTGATGGTCTCTTCCTCGATCTGTTGCGCCAACTCTCTCGTGGGCGCCATGATTATAGCGTAAGGACCCTGAGATTTCGGCATACAAGTGTTAGAATTAGGAAACTTTAGAAACTTGTGCCATCGATTTTTCTCGAAAACTCCGACGACGATCGACTGACCTGGTCAGCAGTTTCAATGACGTCCTGCTTCGGCAACGAGGATATCCAGCAAAGGAGCGGGAAGAGGAAGGCGAGAGTTTTTCCGGAACCTGTTTCGGCGACGCCGATGATATCTCTATTTTGCAGACCGATTGGAATGGCCTGTCGCTGAATCGGGGTCGGATCAGTATATTTCAATTCGTCAAGAATGTCCGTGATCTCCGACGGTAGCTGCGCTTCCGACCACTTGCGCAATGGGCTGGGGATGTTTCCACCTGGCAAAAATGCATTCTCACAATGTGCTCTCGTTGCAACCTATCCTCAATGAAGCTGAGAAATTTGCATCGCTCCGCTCTCCATCGATGGTTGCTCACCCTTAATAGAGATGTTGTAGTCTTCTCTGAATATTCGCCAATCTCTCTCGGTCATTTCGGCCAGATCTTTTTGACTCCAATGACGATCGTCCCAGCGCTGTTTCTCCTCGCGATTCTTCAATTTCTGGAGTCGTGCCCTTGTGGAAGAGGAGCGGAGATTACAGTGGATGGTTCCTAATGTTGACCATGTCAAACTTCCCTAAACCACGCATGGATAGAATGAATGATCAGAGCATAATATGGGGACGTACTGTTCTTGCTCCTTCTCCTGATTGGTCCTCCTGGACTCGAGTAAATCGCCGTAGAATTTGCTCTGTTCCTTCTTCTGCTGATTTATGTCGATTCCGGCTATGTGACCTCGGCCGAATAGTTGGATCGTGTGTCGGTCCTGGAATGGGAGTGTGAGGACATCTGTCAATTATTTCTTTCCCGGACGGACGATAGATGAGTCCCGCTCGAGATAGTGCCGTCGTACGGGAACCTGAGGCTAGGCGGTAAACGAACTTTGTAAAGAGGATTGTAGTCATTGCTGGTGTCTTCTGAGGGATCCCAATCGAAGACGAATTTCTTGTCGTTGAGCTTCCGGATTCGCCGTTTCTTTTTCATCATCCCCAGATACCGATCCTTGATCGCTTCCTGTTCTCGCAGCTTGTCTCGTTCAGTACTTGTACCGGGTGTCCTGAAGTGGTCATCGTCTCGTCGTCGTCCCACATCTCGGTCGTCGCGTCGACGTTCCCTCTCCCGAACTTCGTGGCGAGGTTTCGGCATCGTTTCCTCCTGCGATTCAATCCGGCGTCTGCGTTCGGCCTCCTGTTTCTTCCTCTGCTCCTCGATTTCTTTTTGTCGACGAGCTAGTGCGTCCGCCGCTCGCTGTTCTTTCGTGCGGAAGACCGGCTGGAGAGCGAGAACGAGAATAAGAAATCGCGGCAATCCACCCTCGTCCTATGAATTGGCGTATTTCTGGTTGGGAGAGATGCTCAAGCCGATCGACGATGAGCGGAACTTTTCAGTTATTCACCTTTGCCGCCAGCTCCTCCTCGTTCTTTTTCTTGGCAAGAATTTCCTCGAGAGACGGCGGATCCTTCTTGACTATCTGAACGTCTCCGCTCGAATCCACGTCTTCTTTGGTCTTGGCCTCTTCGTCCTCGTCATCGATTGTGATGACCTGGAAGCATTCGGAATATTCAATAATCGTAGATAATGCAGAATTCGGAAGCTCGTTCTTTTCCCTGAGGCTTCTGATCCACTGTACCTCTGTCGGCTTGCTGGACTTATCCCCGTGTCGTCTGTCTCTGGATCTGCTCCTCGATCGTCGTCGTTCGCGGGATCTCTCCCGTCTACGGTCCCTCTCGGCGTCACGACCACGGTCCACGGCCCTCCTATCATCCCGGTAGTCGCGGTGGGAGTGAGAGTCTCGATGGGGATGTGTGTCGCGGTCACGCTCAGGTGACCGGTTGCGTCTCATCCGATCGGGAGAGCGCCTTCTGTCCGATGGCCGCTCGTCTCCGTACGTCATTACGGGACTTACAAGATAGACTGTGGATCCAAGCAAAACTTGAGGCGAAGATTCTCGTTGCTTCCGACTGCATAATTGTCGAGCTGTCAGCACACCGCTCAAATGCTACTCCTACGAGCCTCCTGTTGAACAGGAGTCCAGGAGGGGGATCGAGAAGCACCACCGGTGCCTGAACGGGGAAGACCACGCGGTCCACATAAGCGAGAGGTTCCTCACCTGTGGCGCCAGAAGCTCCTCAATTGTTCAGTGTCTGTTCTTCCCCTCCAATCCGAAGTTCCGAAATGATTCGATGTGGAACAGGAGCTCGATACACGGTCGAGTGTTTACCTTCGGTGTTTACCTGATACTCGGGCGATTCTCACGTGGAGGTCTTTAAAGCGGCGTACAGAGCGGGATGTTCACGCGCCGAAATACCACTAACCAAGATCAGACCGAGATTAGAGACATATTATCCGCGTCGCGACGTGCATTCGGTGTCGTAGTTCCGAGGGAAAAACGTCAGATTCCTTCCTGATGAAGGACAAGGAAGCATGGGAAAAAAAACGCGCAGGTAGTGTCGAGACCACTACCGTAATATTGCGTGAAAACGTCTATTCCTCATGCAACCTCGAAATCTTAGTTCTTTCTACAGCTGCAGTGAAATCACATCGAGTACATACCCTCAGCCTTCTCATGAAGTGCGTGTAGCTTGATTTTATCTAAGAAGGGGGTTGCTGAACAAGTAACACGTCGATCGGGCTGAAACTTCGGTCATAGAACCCCTGCCCCGAGAGAAGTTCAACCCTGAGAGGTCATCCGCGTATGGCCACCTTGAAGATGTTTAAATGATTATATTATCGATAATTAGCCCTCAAGCATTGACTCTATGAGAAAACTGGGAAAGACTATGGACACCTCCTAGGGTTGAACTTCTCTCGGGGCGGGATTCTATGACCGAAGTTTCAGCCCGATCGGCGTCTTGCATATTCAGCACTCCCCTTCAAATTATCGATGTCATTCTATTGACGTTGAGATTCGTCAATTTGAGCATGACCTCTAATCCCGCGAATGCCTTCGATACGATAGTTGGTGTTCAATTGAATTTATATAGCCGTGCTCGATCCTCTCGGTTGAGAGTCCTTCTGACCTTCGTTATCCGACGAGTAATCCCTGGAAGCATGCCTCATGTCTCATGTGTGATATGTGATATATGTATTTCCTTCGTGGGATTCAATATTTCCGCGAACTGCTCCCCTCTCCTACCTACCGAGGGCTTCAGTGAAGTTTTATGCCGAAGGTCTCGACACAACGCGGAAGATGATCAAAGTCTCACAGATTCCGGATAGAACAGCTTCAAGAGTGTGGCCAAGCGGATCCTCGAGGAAACGAAACAGCGGACAGGAATGAGGATGCCTCCAGAGGTCGGAGACGCCCATGATTCGGACTTGGATTTGTATCCATTCGAGCGGAAGCGATTATATCGGAGCATTCGAGATGATTCGACTGTTCAGTGTTTATTGGTGAGGGCGCCCGGGAACTCCGCTGATCGGCGGCTTGAGAAATCGGGGTATCGGGGTCGAAGCGACTCAATGAAAAGCTCCTCGCCGATAGCATCGTCGTTCGCGATCGCAAAATGTTTGTGAACCGCTCTTATGCGGAGGCTGAGCTCACGTTCTCCGTACATTCGGAAGGGAGCGATTCTGATTGTTCCTTGAGAGAGTTCCCTTCGCTGTTGAGTCGTGCGACTCGGTAGGAATTCGAGATCGAAATAATCTCAAATACCGCGCATCGCGACTTTGATCTGATCTCCATCGATCTCAGGGAATTTTCCCTTGGATCGACTGGTACAGCCCAATGACTTGTATTCCGCCGGTCGAGCCCATCTGAATCTCCGCTACTCTTCTCAGATATATCGCACAAACTCAATATTTTCAGAGAAAATCCCGTGTTTATACACTGTCCGGGAGTATCCCTCGTGCATCCTGAATCGCTCCCGGGAACCTTCAGATCCGCCAGGCATAACCACGGAAATCGAATGGCAGATACCTCCGTAAATTCCCTTCCCATCGGTGCATCCAACAATTGGATCCGCTCTGAACAACACGAACTATCGGGTCGCAAATCGCAAAGTGCCTCAAATATCGTTGCATGGAGGACGGAGAACATTGATTCTACCCCTTGAGTGAAATTAAAGAGGTTTTCACGTCAAAATCATTGACATGAATCTCCGGATGGAGCTGGATTCGGAGGGAGAACTCGAATGACGTAGGGGAAAGGGCGGTACTGGGGGTGCCCGTCTATCCGGATACCTACGGTATACACACAGACAACGATATTCAGTCCCTTATTAGTATGACATGTAGCCAGCTGCATAGTCGTCTTTGCTGTGGAATCTGGAAAAATATCGATCACACTCCATGGGGAAAGTTGGCCTGTACCCGGCCCAGGGGCTGTGGTCACTCAGTAAGTCGCAGCTCTAGGTTTCAGTTCCACTGTTCGTCATTTATTTCTATCTAGGGGTTGCTTAAATACAGCTCTTCTGGAGGAAAAAGAGACCTATCTATAAAGAGCAGGAGCGCAATGGAGCGACACCGTCCCGTCCGCTACTGCGGCCTCGCAGGGCTTGGGGAGATGTATCATTTTATTCCTGCTCCGCATTCCCGACGAAGCTATTATGACTATTGTCGCAAAGCTCCTTGAGGAGTAATGCCTTTCATGATTAGGTCTGCAGGTAAAACACGCAGCCGCATTATTTCAGCAGAATCCGCTCGCGTCTGCACAAGGCAGCAGGGCGCAGCCCGCCTTCCATATACCCCATGACAACAGAAGGTTGCCGCATATATCATAAGCATATTTGACGATTTTGAGACGTCTGACATGAGCCCTCGCCTGCTCTAGGTTTCCAGCGTCACCCTTGAGAAGGAACTGGCGGATTCCTGCACAATAGGTGTGAACGTACGACGGCCAATGAATGGTTCGCACGTCGAAATTGAATTCGTGTTTGTCGTCGTTATGTAAGCCCGCGAAAAGCTTTTGGGTATTCGAGTTCTCGAAAACCCACTCGTTCGTCGCGAAAAATTCCAGGAGGTCCATCGACATCGACAGCCGTTGGTAGAGTTTCGAGGCCATCGGTTTCCTCCGCGCCAAGCGCAAGCCGGCATCGATGACCTGAGCCGGCACGTAGTGCTGAAGGAAGAGGCGAATTTGGTGCAATCTCTTGTGCGATGTAATTCTCGGCTCCGGGTAACGAATTATCGAGGTGGTGGGGTACTTGTGCGGGAAATCGACGGATTCTTCCATGAAAGTTCGCCTGAAACGATGGAGGAGATGTCGGATCGGTGCTTGTGCGTGAGTTCTCGATCGCGCTCAGATCGCACTTCTCCGGAATCTCGGTGGCCTCGTGTGCCGTCTTACCATTTTATTGGGTTCTGTGAGCCCGAGGTGCAATTGTAGATTTTGAATCCGTCCCTGGCGTGTTTTGCGGCCGCTAGAATTGTGTTCGCCACAAAATCGACGGGTATCAGATCGGCCGTGCAGTCGAGTTTACTGTAGAGCGTCGTGAGGGCTCCAGTGCCGAGTGCGATGAGGAGTCCGTTGGGGCCATTGTAGTTGTCTACCCAACCCGGTGAAGGTTCGAAAGCGGCCCCTGGAATTATTTTCAAGCGGCACGTCAGTCTCGAGGGTATCTCGCGACTAGTCGCCCGACTTCCACTCGCGGCGACTGAACGTAATGCTTGCGCGCTTCAGACAGAGAGCGGTTCTGAGAGACCAAGAGTCGAGTGACTAGAGTGGAAGCGCTAGCAAGATGGGGAATATTTTAAGAACGAATGAAGCTTTCGATCTTCGCATTGGATAATTTCTTCCATTCGAAGCGCATTGGGAAGGATCGAAACTCACCGGTGATGATCGAAGGCCTGACGATGGCTATCGGTAGGCACTCAGAGTACAGCTCAACCAAGTTCTCAGCCAACGCTTTCGTGAACGTGTAAGTGTTCGGCCGATCCTTGAGAAGCTTCGGAGTGATATGCTCCATGAGCTCTTCCGTCATCCACTCGCTCATCGACAACATGTTCACGGGATCCACCTGCTCCATGATGAACCCACGTATGAATGAGTGGTTGATCAATTGATCAGTAGATGAAATACACAAATCGATAGGTCTTTCCCAATTCTTTGCGAAGCTGTGTGGGCTTGGAGTTCGCGCCTCCATGCGGATTGCGATCGTCGTCGAGTGTAGCCCCGATTCGGGAGGGACTCGAATTCGGGCCGCCCGAGTCTTATCGAAGACAATAATTTCTCTGCTTCTGTCTTACCTCGCATTTGTAGATTTTCTCTTTGACTTCCCGCATCTGGCAATTCGAGTAAGCCGTTGATACATGTACGAAGGATTCCAGATGAGGCATCGTTTTCGCCAATTCGAGTACCTCGTACGTGGCTCTGACATTGATCTCGAGGCTGTTCCGGAGCGGTTCCGAAAAGCGCACCTGGAGGGGAAGCATCAGAGGATTTGCTCTCATTCGAGTGTTCACGAGTTTGCTCGGCTCCGCTAAGTGATTTCCGAGGCTGAATATGAGTCCTTGGGACAGTATCTCGAGACACTGAGATTCTAGAGATTCTCCCGAGTGAGGCAGAAACCACCTACCGAAGCTGCTGAATGGATCACGACATTGACTGTCTCCCGAAGCACTTGCAAATCCGCGTCGTTCGCGATGATTCTACGGTTCAAGAGGTCGCCGGATATCACTTTGACCTGCCACGAGAAAAGGTATCAGCTATCGCGTGCTCAGACTTCGCTGTAGAACCTCCTTGTGAGGACCGATACAGTTATTCCTGTACACCGGAACGGAAGCAATGATACTCACTTTCGCGAAGCATTCGGGATCACTGGTATGGAGGTTTTCGAACAGTTTCGCATTGAGGATATTTTCCATCCGTTTCTGGCCATTCACACCCTTCTTTTCCCGGACCAGGACGTATATTGTTTTTACTTCAGGGCATGATCGTAGCAGTTTCTCCACGAGCACCTAGAAACATACGGTCGTAAGACCTGATACACGGAGAGCAAAAGAAGGGGTACATCCGCGCTCATTTCACGAGGATCCTCCGGCAAATCGTTGCGACTCAACCTACCTTGCCAACGAAACCGGAGATGCCGGTGATGAAGACATTCTTCCCGGAGAAAAACTCGGGGATCTTGGTCATGCTGGACTCTGTTTTCTCTCCTTGCCGTATACGGTTTTTCCTCTGTTGGACCTGGAATCCGGTTAGGAGATCTTGAGACAAGATTCGACCTTCGATCGTGCCGTGGAAACCAGAGGAGCTGCTTGGAGCTCCAACTACACCACTCGTCCTAATCCATATTCAGACGTTGCTCGGATACAGGTCTGGTGCAGAGACTGAGCGCTATCTCGACCGAGTGAGGGCGAGAGGATGCTCGAATATCTCGTAGATTTATCTATTCTCAACACCCAAAACCGATATTATTCGAATTCAATGAAGCTAACGATGTTGTATCACATTGGCTAAGGGATGGAAGGTGCTACAATCTGTTCTGGTCAGGTTGACTTCGAGAACGCGGATTAGGAATGACGAAACGCTCAATTCATCCTGCCTTCGATGACCATAGAATAGGTCCACCGTTGAACGTGGTCATGGACCCACTGGCCCCGTAATCGGCGTCTGTGGAGATCCTGAGTGAGTCTGGAGGTAACGGGAATTTCCCTCCTTCGTACACAATCGAAAGATCTTGCGAGCCTTGCAAGTACCGCAAGATCTTTGAGGCCGCATTCCAGTGTTGTTCAGTATACTTGTCCAGGAAGCGGGAAAGGAAAGAGACCGGGAACGCAATGTTCGGTCGAGTACAGATAGCCAAAGACATCAGTGATCCGATAAGTTCTCGATATGGTCTAAAAGTTTTCTTATCTCTCTCTGGATTAATCTCGTGGATCGATGGGTCTGAGGGTGCCAATTGCTCATCTCGAATCGCTCAAGAATTGTTCACGGCATCGTCAGCGTAGACGGCCAGAATCTGGATGTCACTTCCTTCATGCTTGTAGTGAAGGCTTGGATCTGCTTGGCTTTGAAGGAGCTGGAAGCTCTCCAAGACGGGACATGGTTTCCCGTTGAACGAGCGGGGAGCTTGGCGCAGACCATAAAGGCCCTTGTGCAGCCTACAGACTCGGTTTGTCCCATCCGCAAAGCCCGGAGGTCGAATCATGTAGATTTCCCCTTTGAGATCACCGCATAGAAAGGCTGTTTTGATGTCAAATTGCCTTGATTGTAGTTTCTTTGCGGCACATAAGGCCAGCAAGAATCTCGCGGTTCCGAAGCGCGCAACAGTCGCCCATCAATGCTCGTAAATCATGGCTCGCTTGTGTTCGGAACCATGAGAGGTACTCTATGATTTTTTCTGATACCTCATCTTTGGATTCAAGGATGTATAACCGATTGAATTTTGAGAAGTGATCATGAATGCTCATGAAATATTTTGATCTTCCCAATGATGGTTTCATAGGACCACATAAATCGGTGTGAACTACTTGTCCTAGTCACTGCGGCTTCGTGCTCGGGGGCCTTGAACGATAAGATGCCCTGTTGATCTTCCCTTGAATTCAGGATTCACGATCAGCCGTATTATTCTTGAATGGGATGCTATATATCGCAAGTATTTGTTTGAGTCCATGTTTGTCAATATGACCGAAGGCTTCGTGAGCCTGCTGCAGAGTGGGGTTCAATTGAGAATTGATATGTTTGCCTCAGGTACATGGAGCTTCACTGTGTCCAAGACATAAATACCATCCACCAATCTCGGGGTGAGAGCTACCTTGTTTTTTGCTGAAGTCATTTTGTCTTTGTGCGCGTCCACGAACCAGCCGGATAGCGCCAAGGCAGAGAAAGAGACAAGGTTTCTTCTCAGTGAGAGCACGTAGTGAGCATTGGAAAGGCTCACAACGTGTCTTTCGGATTCCGTTTCAACTCCGAACTCTATTGTGCCAGTTCCAACAGTTTTGCTGACTTCATGATGATTGATTGGATCTTGCTTCGGTGGATAGCCGAGTTTGTTCGACCTCTATCAAGTCATAGAGATTCGTTAGAGTTTGGGATTCCTTCGGTGTCACCGTCCACATTTGATAGTTTTTCCCGGATGAGTCGAGTTTTAAGGCCGAGAAGTTCGGCATCTTCGATGCTCGGGTGTTGGTGGATTCACCTCAAAGCATCTTGGATTCGGTTGATAGCGCGGTTTTATTACTAAGATTGGAAACTGGATCGAATGAGCCCCTCGATACGAAATAGCCGTCGCTATCGATCGAGCTATTCATCGACAAAATACAGCGGTGTTGATGACACTGTTGCGGTTTCTAGATTCTTCCTACTGGGAACTTACCTCACCGTAGGTGAGTATGGTAGTTTCACTGAACTCTTTTCTCCTCGCTAAACGAGTGAAGTGGTCATAACGTGATTAGCAGGGAATATGAAAGCTTGTACTGGCTCAGAAGATTGGTTAGTGAGATAGGGTCGAGGGCAGTAGGGTCGTCTCCGCTGTCGCTCAGCGTCACCGAGGCGAATCCGAAGTTCAGTCACTACACTCGTGAAGAATCGAAGAAGCACTCGGGTCGAGTTTCCACGAGACAGCGTGTTTATTGGTTGAAAGGTTGTGTCTTATACTATTGTCTGTGAGAAAGGGGGACCTATGTTGAGGCGCCGATCCGGCACCCCTTCTACTTGATTGATGAGCACACCCCTGTACACTATGGGTCCCCATAATTAAACACTGGGCTCTCACAAGTCGAGCGCTTTGTCGGCACTTGCGGGCGTGCGTGAGCGTATGCGGAGCCGCTCCGATTCTCAACTCCGTACTGTTTCGCAAACCCGGGGCCAATGAGACCCGGATGCAGTTAGATGCGAGAATCCGAGATCGGCTGACTTCTAGCTAGCTTCTCTTGAAGACGGCTCGATCCATTAAGGATCATTCCGCCTCGATGACAGGTAGCTCGAGGCGAATGTTTGACCGGTCTTTTAGAGATTCGTGATGCGTCCTCGCGGGGTGGGAGGCATCGCTATCTATGTTTTTCTATTTTCAACACACAACCTTCTTTTCCCGAACCAGGACGTATATTGTTTTCACTTCAGAGCATGATCGTAGCAGTTTCTCCACAGGCACCTAGAAAGATACGCTTGTAAGACCTGATACACGGAGAGCAGAAGAAGGGGTACATCCGCTCTGAGTTTACGAGGATCCTCCGGCAAATCGTTGCGACTCAACCTACCTTGCCAACGAAACTGGAGATGCCGGTGATGAAGACATTCTTCCCGGAGAAAACCTCGGGGATCTTGTTCATGCTGGACTCTGTTTTCTCTCCTTGCCGTATACGGTTTTTCCTCTGTTGGACCTGGAATCCGGTTAGGAGGTCTTGGGACAAGATTCGGCCTTCGATCATGTCGTGGAAATCGGAGGAGCCGCTTGGAGCTCCAACTACACCGCTCGTCCTAATTCATATTTAGACGTTGCTCGGATACAGGTCTGGTGCAGAGACTGAGAACGATCGCGACCGAGTGAGAGCGAGAGGATGCTCGAATATCTCGTAGATTCATCTATTCTCAACACCCAAAACCGATATCATTCGAATCCAATGAGGCTTACGAATTTGTATCACGGTGGCTCAAGAATGGATGGTGCTGCAATCTCTTGTAGTCAGGTTGGCTTCGAGAACTCGGTCTAGGAATAACGAAACGCTCAGTTCATCCCGCCTATGGGACTTTCTCCAGTGGTCTGATCGCCTGATTTGGCAGAGAGATTATCCTTGCGAAGGGCTCGGTTCGCCCGATTCCCGTGGGTCGATATGCTTAAGAGCTTCATTGACTTCCTAGAGAGTGGGGTCGCTCTGGAGGATTGGGACAGAGGCTCCCGGATTTCCAGGGGAAGGATTGGGTCGACTCTGATCAGGAAGAGTCTACGATCAATGATAGCGGAGGAGCTTTGTGCTTGATTGGTTAAATTAATAGTTTTTCTCAACATTCACGGACCAGCCGGATTGCATCAGAAATGAACAGGAAAATGAGTTTCTACTGAGCTTCGGCGCGTGAAGAACAAGCTCCTCTCCCAGAACCCGCTCGTCAGAATCTGACTGTCCCTCGCGAAGCGGTGCCAGCCCCGGCCGCCATAAGGCTTCGCGACTTCGCTATCTTAACCTCAACGCTCGTGTGGAAGGTATCGTGAGGAATGGAGGATCCCGTTGCCGAATTGATTCAAAGGTCCGGAGTTCGATGTTAACCCGATGTTCGAAGTCTCCGGAAGAGGACATCAGTGGGCGGCAAGGATGAGCCTTCGATAGTTCCTCTGAGAATTCAAAGAAGAATTGTTGCAGCTCTGATAGCGTCGATTTAGGTTGGAGTCAGCTGGGGGTCTCCCTGAGTTCTTGGAGGCGGGATCTTGATTGAATGAATTTCAGTTCTTGTAGGGCGCATTTTGATTGAAAGACTTATAGATCTTGGAGGGGGATTTTGATTGAATGCTAGATAAAGCCGTTGGATTATATTCGAACCGAATCCTGCCTGAATTCCGACTTGAGACGCCTCATCTCATTTGCCTAGCCGATAAGACTACTCGATTTTTGTTGTGCTCGAGCAATAGCCGAGAAAGATTCTTGGAAAGTTCGTCAGGTAGGCAGCAAAGCATCAAGATTGCGACCGATTAGGACTGATCCTTCAAATGAACCACCAATAAAGAGTAAAGACCAATAAAGGGTGCGGGGTCCGTAGAGTGAGCTTGGGCAATCAGTGAGAAAGAGATCCTCATCTTGGGAGGGTGGCCGCCGATGGGGATGGAATCGAACAGCCTCGACTTCTCTACGGAGATTATGGTTGCAGCTGATTGAACGCGGAGCGGTCGCCGATTGAGAATGAGTTCGAGAGGAGCTCCCCCCGACTTAGCCAGGCCGGGAAACGGCATGACCAGTCGCGCTGAAGCATAATATGACGCCACAGTTTGGCTTCGGGAATAACGAAGCTGTATTTCGATTTATCCGCCGGGAGCCGTCGTGGTCGTCTTTCTACCGTCTCGGTCGACGGTCAGTCTTCAACTGCCGCGGGTCCGCTGCTGTGCGTGAAGCTTCGTGCGACCACGTCGGGGCTGCCCTCGCACCTCAGCGAACCTAACAACCCCACGACAACTCTCTCGGTTTCTCTTTATTGTAGCATATAAGTCT